CTCTTCTTTCATTAGCAGGGCGTCGTGTAAGTATTGTATTTGTCCTTTGTCTATATAGCATTAGCACCATCTACTGGGTAAATTATAGTACTTTTGGTGTACTTACTAATTAAAAATACTATTCTCAGTCAATGAGAAACACATTAGTCATATACATTTAGACATATTTCAACAAGAAAACACATTGTATAGACACACTCACTTAAAATGCAAGAACATTAAAATATTTTATTGGTTGAAAGAACACAAAACCATAGCAAGGGAAATGGATTAAGTACTCATTTTTTTCTAAATGAAAAATGAGTACTTAAATCATTAAACAATAATAGAATTTGCTTGGCCATGGGGCACAGGGCTTCTGTGATTTTTTTTGTGTGTTATTAGGTGCGAGTGATGTAGGCTGCGGGTTTCTACTTCAGTTGTCTCAGGGCAGCTCCAGCTCCCTGCAACACACAATACATTTGGCAAAATCAATGCCAGGGCACAAAAGAACATGACTTCAGCTATATACTCTTCATTTTTATTTACATTTTTAAATCTCAAAATGAAAAATGAGTACTTATTCCTGTGTCTGCACTCATAACTAAAAGTGCAGATACAGAATTAAAAAATGAATCTAGAAGCATCATATTAAGTTTAAGATAATTTTTGTTTTGTTTTAGGGTGTACTGCCGACTGAACCACCATGTACCCCTACTCAGCATGTACTTAAATGGCCAGTCTGACCTTCGCCCCGATTTTCGTCTCTGTCGAACCACCATCACCCGTCTGGTTAGCCACCTGAGGAGTGCTCATCACCAGGGCTGGAGCCAGGACATGGAGGTTTTGGTCTTCCTCTTTTGGTTGGCCAGTGGCACCGCGTACCGTGTTGTCGCCAGGGCATTTGACATGCCCCAGTCCACAGTCCACGATGTGATCCACAGGGTGGCCAACCAGATCCTTCAAATGCGTGGCCAAATAATTCATTTCCCTTCCCTGGAGGAACTTCCCCAAGTTGCAGCTGGGTTGCAGTTGCTGGCTGGATCAGCTGCTCTCAATAATGTTGTGGGGAGCATCAACGGCTGCCACATCAGAATAAAGCCCCTTCAAGAGAATGCACAGTGTTATTTTAACAGGAAATTGTTTTATTCTATTCAAATGCAGGCTGTGTGTAATCACCGTGGCTTATTTATTGATTTGTTTGTTGGCTACCCCGGATCTGTGCACGATTCTCGGGTGCTTAAAAACAGCCCCCTCTACGTCCACCGGCTCTATCCCCCAAATGGACACGTCCTCCTTGGGGATGGTGGCTACCCTTGCCTCCGTCAGCCCATCACACTCCTCCCTCCATACAGAGAGCCTGTTCGGAGCCCAGTGGAAGCCCGCTTCAACCGGCACCATGCACGGGCACGATCTGTAACAGAAAGAGCGTTTGTCATGATGAAGGCAAGATGGCGATCCATTTTTTTCCAAGGCACTGGAAGTCCAACCCACCTTTGCAGTCCAGGTGACTGCCTGTTGCGCCATCCTGCACAACATCTGCATCAGCGATGGTGATCTCTGGGAGCTAGTGGAAGAGGAGCCAGGGCCTGATGATGAGCAGGACCAGCATCAGCAGCACCAGCCTGATCAGCAGTGTGGACAGGAGCTGTGTGGACAGGAGCTGTGTGGACAGGAGCTGCGTGGACGGATGGCAGCAGCACTTTCCACCCCAAGGGCCAGGCTACCAGCTCTTCGGGACCACGACTATTAATTAAATGTTTGAATAATCTGTGTTTTGGCCTATTTAAATAAAAACAAAAACAATTGAATATGTAAATATCTAAAAAGAAATTGTTGAATGTATGTATAGTTTTCTTTACAAATGTCTAGAAAACTGTCTTTACAAAAGTTTTCTTTACAAATTTTTTTTTGTAAATAGTGTTCATCATTGTATGTCGATATGCATATAGTTCAAACTACACTTATCAAAATATGGCAATGGGCTCCCCTCCTTCTGTCCCTGTCCCTGTGCGTGGCTGTCTGAGCTCCTTAAAACAGTGAGTTTTGTATAATAAATGCTTCACAAATTAGCTTCAAAGAAACAAACCTTGTAGGTCTTTTTCAGGTTCTCCCACTTCTTGGCCGCTCTGGCAGGGCTGATCAGGCGGCTCAGCCCCATTTCCTTTATCACTGCCCTAAAGTAACGATACATAAAAACATTTGAATATGAGTAGACGTTTTTTGAATAAGTATTTATTCATAATGGTCATACTCCCATCCAGCCGCCGATGCAAATTTTTCACCCGCAGTCAGATGAGTCTCTCCACATCAGTGTCTGTCCCTTTAAAAAACATTAAACACACAATAAATGCTATACATATAACACAAGTGCTTTAATAACATTAATGACTGACCACCAGTGACCCGTTTCTGTAGCGTTAGCTTTAGATGTTAATGTTATGATAAGCGAAAATGCTAACACTTTTCGCGGCAATAACATTGGGTAACGTTGTTTCGCAGTAAAAGGCAATGGTATATCTAAACTTTCAAATGTGTATTTTTGGCAGCTTATTGTCAACAATATATCACGGTTTTTACACATTTCCTTAATTATGATGAACAAAAACTCACATTTATAGCTCATGTCCCGCTCCTGTTCCAACACGTCTCTCGCTGCCTCCGCCATTTTACTTCCGTCTAGTGACCATCGCTGCTCACTACATTTTCGAGATGCATTGTGGGAAAATTCCAGTGCACTACTTTTTCTCTCTGGACATTCGGACACCCCTACAAAATGGCGTGACCACTATATAGTGCACTATATAGGGTATAGTGTGGACATTCGGATACAGCCCGAGTGATTAATCACTCAGGAATACGTAATCTTTATTCAAAAACCACTTTCACAGTTCAGATTCACAAAGCGGTTTAAAATTGTTAATTTCATGCAGTAGTCTCTCACTCCACATATATATGGGAGGGGACCAGCACAGTCACCGGTAAACATTACCACTTTAAATATTTGTTCAGTGAGGACGACACAGGTATACGGCTGCTTTTTATTGGCTTGGTTGAATTGGTTGAAATTGAAAAAAAAATTCCTATACATAGTTCCCACAGGACCAATGAATGTCACATGACCTCCTCGGAGACGCCATCTTTGATGGCACGCTGCTGTGTTTGTGCATTCCATTAAACAGAAGAATGAGAATAAATGTAGATATTCAATCGCAATTGGACAAAAGAAGGGCAACTTTTGAGCAAATAATTGTATATTAATACAATGGCACCACAGTTTAACGTGCTACGGACATGTTTTACATATTTGATCAAATTATGCAGCAAAAATTAACAAGCAATGCAAACATTTCTCAATAAACTTTAGATTTAATACCAGTTGGAGCTCCATTTTAATTATTTTAATTATATTAACAATTAATTTAATTAATGCTATGCCACACGGACACTATGGATTGCTGTTATTGTTTATTTCCGCGTTTTTGACCGTATGTTTTGGTGAATGGTGGGCAACTGATTTTTCCAGGCGTAAAGAGCAGTTTATTTTATGACAACAGATCTTTTTACAGAAGCAATGCTGTTTGTGAACATTGTTTTAGCGACCGGAGCCAGAGCTGTGTTCGCATTGCCGGCAGTAAGTCAGACCTGTTCCCGGTAAATGTTGGCCTCCGACAGGGCTGCCCTTTGTCACCGGTTCTGTTCACTGTGGTATATTTATGGACAGAATATCTAGGCGCAGCCAGGGGTCGGAGGGGGTCCGGTTCGGGGACCACAGGATCTCATCTCTGCTGTTTGCGGACGATGTTGTCCTGTTGGCTCCAACGAACCAGGACCTGCAGCATGCACTGGGACGGTTTGCAGCCGAGTGTGAAGCGGCTGGGATGAGAATCAGCACCTCCAAATCTGAGGCCATGGTGCTCGACCGGAAAAAGGTGCCCTGCCCTCTTCAGGTGGGTGGAGAGGTCCTTCCTCAAGTGGAGGAGTTCAAGTATCTCGGGGTCTTGTTCACGAGTGAGGGAAGAATGGAGCGTGAGATTGACAGGCGGATCGGTGCAGCGTGCGCAGTGATGCGGTCGCTGTATCGGATCGTTGTGGTAAAGAGGGAGCTGAGCCGAAAGGCAAAGCTCTCGATTTACCGGTCAATCTTCGTTCCCTCCCTCACCTATGGTCATGAGCTTTGGGTAATGACCGAAAGAACGAGATCGCGGATACAAGCGGTCGAAATGAGCTTCCTCCGCAGAGTGGCTGGGCGCTCCCTTAGAGATAGGGTGAGGAGCTCAGTCACACGGGAGGAGCTCGGAGTAGAGCCGCTGCTTCTCCACGTCGAGAGGAACCAGTTGAGGTGGCTCGGGCATCTGTTCCGGATGCCTCCTGGACGCCTCCCTGGGGAGGTGTTCCGGGCACGTCCCACCGGGAGGAGGCCCCGCGGAAGACCTAGGACACGCTGGAGGGACTATGTCTCGCAGCTGGCCTGGGAACGCCTTGGGGTCCCCCCGGACGAGCTGGAGGAAGTGTGTGTGGATAGGGAAGTCTGGGCGTCTCTGCTTAGACTGCTGCCCCCGCGACCCGGCAACGGATAAAGCGGAAGAAAATGGATGGATGGATGGAAGTTTATCAAGAAATTAAGTCTAAATTCAAGTTTTCCAAGTAAGAAATGACTGGTTCCCATTTCTTCAAAAACATTTCCTCCTAGCAGCTCACAGATTTGACTCTTTCATTCCGTTCCAGTATCGGAGTTTATGGTCATTATTTCAAGCACAATTAGAATAAGGATTTTTTAACATATTACCCTTGTTCATGTGCCAGGTGACAGATCTGTTATGGCAGGTTTTTGTAATGATTCGAGGCAAACAAGTGTCTGTGTAATTTATAAAAGTACATTAAAACCACACATAATAATTGTATCATGTAGGTATTCAAGCTGTGGCAGAAGACCCTCTGGAAAACCTGCTCCCCCAGTCTTATCAACTATTAGTGCATTTCAGCAGGAATAGAAACTGCTAGTGCACGGACAAGAACAGTCAGAGTGTTTCCTCACAGTTTCCGAGTCGGAGGATCTTGGCATCGGCGGCCATGTTGGATGTGATCTTGCGAGGGTCTGTCTCCGCTCGGTTCAGACCCAAACCCAGGACTGTGGACCTGCTGTTGGATCTGTCTCTACTCACGCACCACTGCAGAAGACACAAATGTAGAATAATAAACAGTCAGATCAGGAATATTAGGACACTGAACATGTGTTGGTTAAGTTGCCCCTGGACAGACTCAGCGGGTACATCATACATCATGGAGTGATTGATTACATTGATCAATTATAAAAAGATAAATAAAAGAATTCAATAGCTTTGAATTCAGTAGCTTCAATTTTTGACCCAGAGAAGTTTACCAAGTCAGGAGGCGGCAGAGCCAGTTGGAGCAAAACGTCACCATGAGCACTTTCCTATTGGGCTTCCCTAAGCTAGCGAGTTAGCACTGTCCATCTGTGCTAACCAGTCTATGGCCAGTGGCCTTAATCTCTGTTTCCATCTGTTCACACAAATATGTGAAAACTGTATTTTCAAGTTTAAAAAAAGCTTTGTTTTCAGAGTTTGATTCATTTCTTGAATTCAGAGTTGAGAAATACCAGGCGATGTGTTTTAACAGGGTAAATAATTAAATATATTGAGAATTTACCCACCTGTTCCTGCTCCACTTCACAGAAATCATCCAAAGACGTGCTAAAGCATAGACCGGCCAAGTGATCTGAAAGGCAACAGCCAGAAGGACTTCACGGTGGAAATGAGAAAACATTACCAACTGAATTTATAGATTGTGAATATGAGTGATAACAGAGCGGCATCAGAGCAGTAACAGAGAGGAAGCAGAGGACGGCAGCAGTAACACACACACGCACAAATCACTACCAGTATTGATGGATGTAGTGGTAGACTGCAGAAAGGAAGCGCTGTTGCGGACGATTCCAGTTTTCCTAAATGAACGAGTTTCCGTGTGAATAGTTTCCTTGCTCTCTGACTCGGACACTGAAGACGGAGAAACCAAAAAGGAAAGTCTATGTATTTATTCTTGAAGAATGCTGCACAAACGGAGATCTTAAAAAACAAGAAAAGCTCACGTGAGCTGCAGTCTGCTCCTCTGCGGACCTCTTCTTTGGACAGAGAGTTGTAGCCCAGATCCGACTGCTCTCCTGAAAAAGACACAAACCTGCTCAGGGCTGTGGTTGTTCATGTGCACAGGGGCACATGAACTGACTCGAACTGAAAGACCTGGAATCAACTCACAACACAAAAAAAGCTTTGATCACCATTTCATTACCAGGATGACAAAACCCTAATCATTAACCCGTTGAAATCAAATGAAATAGTAGCACTGAACACTCACAGAACACTGAGCAGAAAGGCATTATTAGTGCCCATTCCAAAAATAAAAGTCACAAAAATGGCAGTTCACATTTCTCTGTTGAGCTGATTTTCTGTGTGCAGATTTGCAGCTTTTTTTACAACGTGCTTCTCATGCACGCCGTGTAAACTCCAACATCATAAAACCGCGAGTAAAACATGACAGTTACCTTTCTTTACCTTTAAGTAACGTGTGTGCAACACTGATTAGTTGAGAAGACTACCGCCGTCTTCCCGTAGCCCTCAGTCCTGCTCCTGCCCCTCTTCTGCCCCATTTTCTTGCGCTTTATCCGTTGCCAGGTCGCTGGGGCAGCAGCCGACCTGGCAACTCGGCAGCCGAAGCTCAGACATCCTGACCTGCCCCACCCACTCTTTTTCCAGATCATCATGGGGGATCTCAAGAAGAGACCCCAAGGTCAGCATACGGTATGTGTTTAATCTTGAACACGTTTCTGGGATCAGAATGTAACCTGTGGAGTGCTTAAGTAGGATTATTATTTGGACGTAATGAGATCGTGCAATATAAAGATCTTTCTTAATATGGCTCTATAAAGCGCTTCCTCAAAATTCATATCAGACAAACTGTCAGGGCAGACTCACATAAGCCTCATGTTCACCAGTGCAATTCGCTTCCACCGACACCGTTAAACCGGTACCAGGTACTTTTTAGTGCCAGTTTGGCCTGGATAAAACCAGGGCCATTCATCTACTAAAAGTGTTCTAACTGCCAGAGATTGGCCAGAGTGTTGCTGGGTAGGTTTCTAAGATACAGAAGCAGACACTAAAGCGTAATGCAAACACAACCAGGTGAAGTAGAGTAAAGCATGGCTGGTGGAAACCGCTATAGTTCCCATTTGTGAAGGGGTACAACATATCTAAAAAAGGTAGCTTTGGCTTTTATGGTTTAGAAATTTAATAAAAAGGGAAAAATTGTTTCTTGGGAGAAATAATTGATTTAAAGATTTCTTGGAAACCTCACATAAGTTACCAGAGGACAAACGCGGGTCTCAGTGTGAGGAGCGGCTCTGTGGAAGATGATTTAAATAAAGTTTCCACTTGACATGTATTAATGGAAGTGAAGCAAATGTAGAGATTATGATGAGAGATGGAGAGGTTTACCTGGGAGTGAATGGAGCAGAGGAGAGCAGGTGAAATCCAGACGCACTGATGAAGACAAAAAGGACAAAGACAAGAGCAGACAGGAGGAGGGGACAGATGATACGAGACCAGTGTGAAGCAAGTTCAGAGAATCAACCCATTCTCTCAACACTGGCGAATACATACAATATGGACAATATAATGGTATTTCTTACGGAAGTTTCAATACAACAGTATGGATCACCTAACATCCATATTTAAATAATAAAACACAACCAGCCACATAACTATGAAAAACCCTTCTTGCCTCTACTTAGACCTACAACATCAGGACATCAGGCATCATTTTGGAAACTACTGCAGGAGAAAACAAACAGGTTGTCAATTCTTTTACCTGGGCTGGATTGGCTGATTTCGGGTGAACTGTCCAAACTGCTGTGGCTGTCTGTGTCACTGCTGCCATCTGAAAACACAGTACAATATGTCAACACTTCAGTTGTGGACCGTTATGGATCTTTTATGAGACTTTTTCATGCATCTAACATCCCACTGCATGAAGACACTGGTGAGACTGGTCCTGGGACATCTCCGCTCCACCCTGAGCCCAGCGATGGACCTGCTGCAGTTCGCGTACCGGCCGGGCATCGGAGTTGAGGACGCCATCATCACCCTCCTCCACCTCTCGCTGTCCCACCTAGAGAAACCTGGCTCCGCTGTGAGGATTCTGTTCTTCAACTTCTCCAGTGCCTTCAACACCATCCAGCCGAGGCTTCTCAGGGACAAGCTGGAGACAGCTGGAGTGGACTACGACCTGTCCCAGTGGATCCTGGACTACCTCAGACAGACCCCAGTTTGTGAGAACCAGGGACTGCGTGTCTGAGGTCCTGACCTGCAGTGTGGGGGCCCTCCAGGGGACTGTCCTCGCACCGTTCCTCTTCACCCTCTACACTGCGGACTTCAGACACAACACGGACGGTTGTGTCCTCCAGAAGTTCTCTGACGACTCTGCCATCATCGGACTCAGCTCCGAGGACGATGACGCAGAGTACAGAGGAGTCATACAGGACTTTGTGGACTGGTGTCAGCGGAGCCACCTCCTCATCAACGCGGGGGAGACCAAGGAGATGGTGGTGGATTTCTGCAGACGTCACTCTGCCGCTCCAGCTCCAGTGAAAATCCAGGGAAAGGACATTGAGAGAGTGGACTCTTACACGTACCTGGGTGTTCATCTGAAGCACAAACTGGACTGGACTCATAACACAGAAGCCCTCTTCAAGAAGGGCCAGAGCCGACTCTACCTGCTGAGGAGGCTCAGGTCTTTTGGAGAGCAGGGGCCACTCCTGAAGACCTTCTATGACTCTGTGGTGGTATCAGCCTCTTGTACGGTGTGGTCTGCTGGAGCAGCAGCATCACAGAGAGGGACAGGAAGAAGCTGGACAAGGTCATCAGGAAGTCCAGCTCAGTCCTGGGCTGTTCCCTGGACACAGTGCAGCAGGTGGGGGACAGGAGGGTCCTGAGCAAACTAACATCTATGCTGGACCATGACTGTCGCCCCCTGCAGGACACTCTCTCTGCTCTGGAGAGCAGTTTCAGTGACAGACTAATTCACCCTCGCTGTGTGAAGGAGAGGTTCTGTAGGTCTTTCCTTCCTGCTGCTGTCAGACTGTACAATAAGAACTGCTGAGCCTGCACATTTCATTCATCTGTAAATAAGTAAATTCTAAATTATGTGCAATGTGCAATACTGCAACTTCAGAATGTCACAGAACAATGTCACTTTACTTATCTACTTATTATCCTGCACTATATGTACAGTACATAACTCTGCACTACTACATGTATATATATTTTAACTGGTATTGAAGCATTTCCAGCATCTACAGCAAGTTATGCTAGTTAAGAAACATAGCTACTACGTATTTTGTATATATTGTGTGCTCCCTGTGTGCTCTTACAACTGTCCTGTATGTGCGCTGCAACATTGAAATTTCCCCACTGTGGGACGAATAAAGGAACTCTTATCATATTTATGTTCAAACTGAGCAGGTCTTTACAACTGATGCAAAAGAAGTCAGTACTTTTCCACTTAATGTTTTGGTCCGAAGGTCAAAGCAAACTATTGTTGATTCTACTTTTTGTCTTGGTTTAAAACCATGGAACGCAGTTATAAATCTGGTCGTTTAGTCTGAGAACCAACAATAAAACACATGTTCTGCTGAGTTCTGGGATTGTGTAGAACACATCCCAGACCGTACCTCAGCAGAACATGTGTTTTATTGTCTGCATATTTTGTCAATTTCTTCACTGTGTACTAAACAAACACTACAGTTACAGCCGCACCAGGGCAGTGAGTTTCCTTCTACCATCCACACCAGCCCAACAGATCCATACCAGGAAATGGCCGGTGGTCACCTGGTACAGCCTCCTGAACAATTTTATTTGAGATTAATACAATTAATTGAATAATGTTCTGATAACAGGACTTCGCAACAGAGACCTGTCCTGATCAGGCTTGACAGATGTTCACCAAAAGTATTATTACCTTAATTTGTCTAATATTTAAAGTGGTTCTGGTGCATTACACTTGCCAGAGGTAGATGTACCTTTACCTGAGATGGGACTGAGGTTGTGGGCTTGATCTCTCAGAGCTCGCTTGAACTGAGTCACTCCCATCAGAACGTTTCGCAGCTTCATCCACAGGAAGTATCCTCCACGAGAGGACGAGGGCCACGTACTCTCCAAAACTGCCTAGTACACAAGAATAGTGCTTATAAATACTGCACATATGCTCCAAGGTTAGGGTTAGGAGGCCTGCGCTAGAATGGAGGCAGGACAGACAGGAAAGACTACTCAGAGAGTGCATTGTTTTTTACCTATTGCTTTGTGCTTTGTGTGTGGTGTAGAAGAGTCCTGCAAAACTATTAAAAAAGGTCTAACTTAGATAAAACCTCAGTTTCATTTACCGTACTTTGTTGACTACAAAAGGTCCACCTGTATATAAATCACACCACCTTGTCCACATTTAAATATAAACCGCAGGTTTTCAAGTTGTAATGTAGCAGATAAGACAACCGTTTAACTGGCCACAACATGATTGAAGGACAGCTTAACTGTTAGCTTACATGCCTCATTCGCCAGCATATTTTGACAGTAAAATATCGCAATAATATCGTTATCAAAATACTAAACACTCATATCGAATACTTTGAACAATGTGTCGAGCACAGACTGTAGAGCAGTTGGCTGCATACAGATAAAACCAGATAATCAATAAAATCAAACGTTACCCAATCATCACCTGGACCTGTATTCAACTCAAATTTATTTTTGTACAGCCCTTTCTATAGCAGTCGTCTCAGATGACTATACAAAGATGCCAATTTGTCAACGCAGATCAGAGAAAAACAGTTCAAACAGAACATAAGTAGGTTTTCAAATATTATAAATCAATTAAATTATTGAACTTACTCAATTGTATCAACTCTATAACTTGTACAACTCAATATCTTTCAGTTGTAACCTTTTTCAGTTGTATACCAACGTCAGTTATGAAAATGTAACTAGTTCTGTAAACACAGCTAGTACAGAAAGAATTAACGGCTTATATGTGCACCAAAAAGTGTGAAAAATACTGTAAGTAAATGTTTATAGGAGTATTTGAAGTACCTTGTTGTAGTAGCCGTACGTAATGGCGTTGGGCAAGACTCCAGCTTTCTTCATCTCAAACAGAACTCTGACAGCGAGCGCAGGCTGACCGTACAGACCGCAGAGCTGCATCAGGACGCGGTAGCACACCTGCAACAGCGCTACTGTCATTACATACACCAGAAAATGTATTCAAAGTTTACATTTGGACATTCTGGTGAAGGCAGAATCCTCCTAATCCTGTGTTACTAGCCTCGATGTTAAAAATATGATCTTTCCAATGCATCAAATCATCAGTCGCAATGCTAGTCTGAAAAATCAAAATGGACTTGCCTCATCGGGGGGCTGCAAGTTCTTGTTGGTCATAGTTCGGAGCAGGTCATAGGCCGATCGAAGCGCCCGGACTTTGGAGGGGCAGCTTTTTGTGTATGCAGGGGAACAGCTGAACCACAGGCCGTAACACAGACGCACCAGGCATTTGGACCAGAGCTCAGGAACCTCCGACTCCTGCTGAGCCAGTCGCTGACAAGACTTTAGCTCCTGCAGCAGAAGACAACGCAACAGCGCAAAGGACTGGGTGAGACCAAAGAGAAGAACAGAGCCAGGACTGTACCCAGGACTGAGCTTGGACAGAACCATAGTTATCATAAAGGTGACAATAATTTATTTTATTTATATAATACAACTTATAATGTGAAACTATTGATAGGGACAGATGGCCAAGTGACATATATCAAGTCTTTGGTTCAATCTCTGGTTTAAAGTACCTAACTTTACCTGTTTCGTGCGTCTGAACTGAGAGGCGGGGCTTGACGGACAGCTCTGTTGTTTGGTAGGTTGATAGCGAGAGGTGCACCCTTCCACAGAGTCAAAGAGCTCTGAGGTCAACACTGGAAAGCCATCATACCTGAGGGGAAAAAAAATAATCTCTTACACCAGTATTTCCCAACCAGCCCTCCCGTGTAGATCAGTGGTATCAAACATGAGAACATTTTAGAGACCCCCAAATGGATTTTCAGTTGTTAGAAAGGGATGCACAATCATTATTGGCTAATACTGGGAAAATGACACTACTTGAATGGTGTATGATGAAAATGTCTTCTCAGAATTTAACCACACACACACACAGACACAAACAAACGAACAACCAACCCCTGCAGAGTGTTGTCCAGCTGAGTACCTGAATGGCAGGGGAGGCTCGTCATCACTCTGCCCCAGTCCAGGGCTTGTCTCAGGGGGACAGATGAACACTGTGTGCTCACTGCTCTGGTGCTCCTCCTCCATCAGCACACAATCCACAGAGTCCACCTGGAAAAGACGAGACAAGACTGAACCAGGACTGAACCGGGGACTGGATCAGAGACTGAACCAGAGATTGAATCCGGGAAAGTACTAAGGAAGGAGCCAGGGACTGGGTCAGGTGTCTTTAGAATGCGGTGCTGCATTATTTGTGATTTGACTATAGCTGCTGACAAGATAGTGCTCTTTATCAGCACACTTCTCTGTGTGTAATTGTGCTGTACAAACATATATGTTTAAATAAAATGTAAACATTTTTGAGAACTTGAATATGGTATAAGTACGTAGGAAAGGAATGGTTACTTGTGTTTCATTCAATTCAAATAGGAGTGAGTCTTTTGTTTCATACACTGAATTCAATCCAATAAATCAATCTGTCCAAAGGAGGTGTCTCATACCTTTTCTACACAGTCATCGAAAAAGGCCAGTCCTGCGTCTTTGTCACTGACGAAGGAGCACTCCTCGATGAAGCGGCTGAACATCTGCGTGCGCGTGAGCAGAGTGTAAAACTTCTGATGTGCACGATCGCGGCTCCGGAGGAAACCTGAGCACAACAGCATTCTGAACTCACTGCCCTGGATTGGTGTCTCACGTTCTGTTAGAACGCTCACAGTTATCAACATGTACACGGAATTCACAGCTTTTCACAGTGTGAGAGTTAGACTCATTAAGAGATTTCATGAATGTTTGCATAATATATAGTGGCTTGTAAAAGATGCCCTTTTGCTAGCCTAACTTGAAAGAAAAATTTTGAATTTGCTTTTCAAAATATAATAAAAACTGCAAAGCAGGGCTTGCATTAGTATCAAGCTGCAGCTATGTGATTCCTGTGAGTGAAACTGATGTGAAACCCACAAGACCAGGCCTGTCCAAACTAAGCCCCACAGGTCAACAGCTGCTTTTTCATGTGGCCAAAGTAGTCTTTGAGGTTAAAAATCACGTTTATAGTGTCATCCAGCCAACTTCAGCTCTGCCACTATATGCATGCTACACCTCATTGTAAAGAGCAGAACCTCTGGAATCCAGTTGTTGAGTTTAGTTGTGCTGACATTTATTTTTTTAGATGTGTCACAAAATTCCATATGTGGTGGTTATGCAGTAGATAGTCAACACTTAACTTGAGTTCCGTCCAATTTGAAATCAATGTGGACATATCATTCCTTTTTTAAGCTCGGAACAGCACAAATCAAGACAAAACAATAGTCTGGACAAGTCTGGTTAACTGAAAAGTGTGCGTGGGTAGAGTGTGGTACCGTGCAGGTCGAACAGCGAGCTCGCATCAGTGGCCTTCTCAGACGGCGCCTGGGTGATGGGCCGCAGGAAAGAGCGGTAGCCTTTCAAAATTGCCGCCATGAAAGTAAGGAAGGCCTCCTGGATGTCCATCTCCAGAGACGCACGACTTCTGCCACTGCTCAGGTCCCACGAGTCACTGAGGGCCAGCTCCAACAGCCCATCGCCCGGTAGTGGGTGTCCTGACCACAACACACCACAGTATTACTACACAGGCCACAGACAGACAGCAGGGGGCGGCAGGCATGGTCCAAATGGCTTATGGTAGTTTAAAACATGAAAAAGATCCACACTACCTGGATTTCAAAAGAAAATGTTTTTGTCCACATAATTTGGACAAAAAGTCGCCGGTTTTCATGTTATGTAGTAGACGGCTGTTTTAACTGGAAACAACATGATTTAATTACAAGGTTTTTAACAGCTTAAACGATAGCTTTCATTGACAATAAAAGAGTGCCTAAAACATGGGAGTCAAAATAATAAGTCCATAAAGCCGGCTCTGACAACTCTAACACAATAAAAAATACACATTAGTCGCATCGCTATATACAGTGCCTTGCGAAAGTATTCGGCCCCCTTGAACCTTTCGCCACATTTCAGTCTTCAAACATAAAGATAAAACATTTTAATTTTTGTCATGAATCAACAACAAGTGGGACACAATCGTGAAGTGGAACAAAATTTATTGGATAATTTAAACTTTTTTAACAAATAAAAAACTGAAAAGTGGGGCGTGCAATATTATTCGGCCCCTTTACTTTCAGTGCAGCAAACTCACTCCAGAAGTTCAGTGAGGATCTATGAATGATCCAATGTTGTCCTAAATGACTGATGATGATAAATAGAATGCACCTGTGTGTAATCAAGTCTCCGTATAAATGCACCTGCTCTTTGATAGTCTCAGGGTTCTGTTTAAAGCGCAGAGAGAACCATGAAGACAAAGGAACACACCATGCAGGTCCGAGATACTGTTGAGGAGAAGTTTAAAGCCGGATTTGGATACAAAAAGATTTCCCAAGCTTTAAACATCTCAAGGAGCACTGTGCAAGCAATTATATTGAAATGGAAGGAGTATCAGACCACTGTAAATCTACCAAGACCCGGTCGTCCCTCCAAACTTTCATCTCAAACAAGGAGAAGACTGATCAGAGATGCAGCCAAGAGGCCCATGATCACTCTGGATGAACTGCAGATAACTACAGCTGAGGTGGGAGAGTCTGTCCATAGGACAGACTCTGGTCAGATGAAACCAAAATCGAACTTTTTGGCCACAATGCAAAACGATATGTTTGGCGTAAAAGCAACACAGCTCATCACCCTGAACACACCATCCCCACTGTCAAACATGGTGGTGGCAGCATCATGGTTTGGGCCTGCTTTTCTTCAGCAGGGACAGGGAAGATGGCTAAAATTGATGGGAAGATGGATGGAGCCAAATATAGGACCATTCTGGAAGAAAACCTGTTGGAGTCTGCAAAAGACCTGAGACTGGGACGGAGATTTATCTTCCAACAGGACAATGATCCAAAACATAAAGCCAAATCTACAATGGAATGGTTCACAAATAGACGTATCCAGGTGTTAGAATGGCCAAGTCAAAGTCCAGACCTGAATCCAATCCAGAATCTGTGGAAAGAGCTGAAGACTGCTGTTCACAAACGCTCTCCATCCAACCTCACTGAGCTCGAGCTGTTTTGCAAAGAAGAATGGGAAGAAGAATTCCAGTCTCTCGATGTGCAAAACTGATAGAGACATACCCCAAGCGACTTGCAGCTGTAATTGCAGCAAAAGTTGGCGCTACGAAGTATTAGCGCAAGGGGGCCGAATAATATTGCACGCCCCACTTTTCAGTTTTTTATTTGTTAAAAAAGTTTAAATGATCCAATAATTTTCGTTCCACTTCACGATTGTGTCCCACTTGGAGTTGATTCTTGATAAAAAAAATAAATGTTTATATCTTTATGTTTGAAGCCTGAAATGTGGCGAAATGTTGAAAAGTTCAAGGGGGCCGAATACTTTCGCAAGGCACTGTAAGCCACAGGGACCAAAGAACTAGAAAAAGTAGCGGTTTATAGTCCGGAAACTATGGTATACACAATTGCAAAAAATTGGTTCTGTGGGCGACAGTGGCTCAGATGGTAGGGCATCAGTCTTTGGATCTGATAGTCAAGGTTTCAATCCCCCCATAAGACCCCCATGTCACCAACCCCCGCTGATATCTGCTGTCATGTCCTTGAGCAAGACACTTCTGCCTGAAGTCCCCCCTACTGAAAGCCTAAAGCAGTGTCATTGTTGACGGAGCAGCCATCCTCCTGAGGACCTATTACTTTCGATGAGCATCAGTGAGAGGCTGCTGCTCTGAGAACATTGAACTAGTTTTCGATAATTGCCAACTTTGAGAAAAACATTGCTTTGCAGTTCATGAGCGTATCAACACTTTGTAGATAAGCCACCTCTCAGATCCCTGTATACTCCCTGTATACTCCTCGTATACTAATAATTAGAGCGGCTTCAGGCTGCATGACACACATGACAATTCCTGCAGACACACACCTTCCAGGAGCTGTCGATGCAGAGATTTCAGTGAGTGGAGCAGGTTTTTACAGGCTTTCTTTGGAAGGATCTTCCAGGACAGTGCCTTCTTCTCCTCACAGCTGTGGACACAAGCATTTTTGATTATTATGTAGCAGAATGGGGTTTGAATGAACAATTATGTACATTCGTGTCTAACTATTTATCAAGACGGCCTCTATTTTGATGTTCACTTTTGATCCAGTGTGTCTCCGGGAACCTCCCCAGTTTCCAAAAAATCTGTAGTTTTTTGACTAGTTAATTCTACGTAATTTTCCTTCTTTCATAATGTGGAATTTACCAAGACAATTGTAGCCTGGTCGTACCACACCATAGTACAAATAACATTTCGTACTAAGGTCTAGACGTGCTCCATTGAGCTTTGTGAAGAGGTGGGAGGGGTTAACTCCTTTTGCAGATTGAAACGATGTTGTTAGCATTTAGCATTTAGCCTAGCTATCTCCTTTGCTGCTAACGGAGCCCGTGGGGAGTAGCGCCACAATTTTTTCCAGCGATTACATTTGCTAAACATTCCTCTTGCTCCGGCTTCAATTTCTTGATAGAACCAGACCGGATTACTTTACTATCGCATTTTTCGCCATTACCAAACTATAACCTTCCTGTTCGACGAAAACTCTTGACGTCTGAGATTTCATAACACTTTTGTTAAAGTTAAATTCATCATTCTATCAATGTGCAGAAGCCTGTACTTTTCCCTTGTTTTGTCTATCTGAAGGCCAAGCTACATGGCACCGTGGAAGCTGCTGATTGGAGGTCTCCATGCCTCCGCTCTGTATAATACACTTGCATTCTGTTGTTCGTGCTGTCTCTACCATCGACAAAAAAACATGTCTTCTGTCGGAATTTAAGACACAATCCCAGACATGTCATCTTCTTCAGGTGGTGGAGAATGCGGGCATTGTCTGTAACATCTAGAGAACAGAAGACTTTTTTTTTTTTAAGCCAAAACTGAGAAACCTCAAGAGAAACCATGCATCTGGACCAGCACACTTGGACTATCTGCACAGCCCCTGATTCCACTCAGGCTGTGAGCTGCTGAGACATGGACAATACCATCGTCCTCTTTTGCATGGACATAATTTGGAACAATTGGATTTCTGAATTTGGACATAATTTGGACTGAATTGAATTGCTGAATCTGGACACTAAAGCTGAAACGTGTGATTGAAAGACACGTCACAGAAGAATTCATGGCTCGACACAACAAATGCAGCCTGAAGAAAACCAACACGGAGAAGTAGGAGAGACTGTTTTCAAAGCAATATCTGGAACCACCATCGACTGATGAAGTTTGGTATTTTACTGAAGATTGTTGACAAGTTTTATGAAAGATCTGAACATGTTTTATGAGTTTTTGAAGTATTCCGAGTTCTGAGTTTTTTGAAGTACAGAGTGAAGTACCGAGTTTGAGTTTTTGAAGTATTGAGTGATGATGTTATGTTGCCGTTTATCGATCCTGATGGTCACACGGGAATGTATGACCAGAGGGGGGAATGTGAGATTTCATAACACTTTTAAGCAACTTTTGTTAAAGTTAAACTCATCATTCTATTAATGTGCAGAAGCCAGTACTTTTCCCTTGTTTTGTCTATCTGAAGGCCAAGCTACATGGCACTGTGGCAGCTGCTGATTGGAGGTCTCCATGCCTCCGCTCTGTATAATACACTTGCATTCTGTTGTATCTGTTGTTCGTGCTGTCTCTACCATCGACAATAAAACATGTCTTCTGTCTGAATTTAAGACACGATCCCAGACTTTGCCATCTTCTTCACGTCACCCACAACTAACTACAACACCGGCCTTCCACGCTCTCTGAATGGTCGGTCGAAATTCAAGTGATTGTAATAGCTAACACAGGGACCAGACCCAGACGTTATATAAAGTGAAATGCTGATTGAACGGAGTGTACTGATGGTTAAGGCCAGGCTAAGACAATTGTAGAACTGTTCCACAATTCTACAGAATGCAGACAAGAAACTCTGTGTTTGCAGAGGTGCAGGTGTTTAGTGTAAATGCTGCAGTTTCTGGTCTCACTGGTAGATGGCGTTGTTGTCCAGGTCCACACAGCTCACATCGGTAGGAGGCAGGTGCAGGTCGAAATAACGTGAGTCCACTCCCACAATGAAGGGACAGGGGGCGCTCAAGACATCAGCCAGAGCCAGGGGGCACAGCGGCACATAGGGACAGGCCCAGTGGAACGGGAAGATCATCTGCAAAACAACCTTTTCCTCAGTATGTTCAGTTTGCTGACTACTTCAACAATCATTTAGGCATTTGCCTGTTTTGAGTCTATAAGTCTCAGTTGATAAATTAATGTTGTGAGGTCCTTTAGGATGGCATCATCTCAGCACAAAGGCCCCTGTCTCTGGAACAGTAGCCGGAGGAGCTGTGGCAGGTCATTTTGTCGGAAAAAAAGGGGTAATAAAGCAGAACCGTATAAGTCTTTCTGGAGGCTGTTCAGTTTTCTCCAGCTATCAAAGGTCGATGTCACATTATGGACTCACCTCGGCACAATTATTATGACAAGATTCAGAATATAATGTAGCTTGTATCTAATCAAAAATGTTTTCAAAGCAGTAAATGATTCACATATGGAAATAATTTGTATATCTAGAAGAAAAGATGTAAAGGTACACTGTGTAGTTTTTACTCCCATCTAGTGTTGAGTTCATATATTGCAGTGTACTTCTACCACCAGCACTACGGAAGCCTTCGAGGACAATATGTCGCCTTTGACTGTGGTCCCCAACACCCGGAGCAGTCATTTTTTGACTATCACCGTCACGTCTGCGTGGTGAAGCAAGACGCACTACACAGAGGTGTTTTACCATGGAGCCTTCTCTCTCCGGGCTGGCTCCTCAACTTTGGAAAAACTGCCCGAGGAGAGAAGGCTAGCACCATAAGTATCCTCTTTTAAATAACTTCTTAAAACCCACTTTTATCAAACAGCTTTTAACTGTTAGTTTCAAACTTCCCATTTTGTATTTTACTGTTCCACTCTGCCTTTGTTGTGTCGTTGTGTGTTTGCCCCATTTTGTCTGCCTGTATCTACTATTCTATCTAATTATTTTGATTTTGTATTATGACTGTTTCATTGTTTATTTTGCTGACTGTGCAGCGATTTGTAAACATTGTTTTTAAATGTGGTGTACTTTTAAAAGTATTACTATATAATATAATAATAATAATAATAATAATAATAATAATCTAAGGAACAGATAATCCACATCACAGCAAGATTCACGGTAAGAAAACAGAACATTCACTCACGCTGCTGATAAAGTATTCTGGTGATTGTTTCGCAGGGATTCTGTGTGTTTTATTTGAGGCTTGTCCCTGAAGAAGTTTAGTTGAAACTTGCAACATAGTAGTTGGACTCGGAGCGGATCAGAACATCCCGAGACCCGTTTTGCAGATTCTGCCTGGTTCTCATTACTGTCAGTGTGAAGAAAGTTACGTATTCTTCACGCGTGAGTCTGCTGTGTACAAACTACACAATGAGCCTCCTGTTGTGTTAACTCTGTCTTTGTGCGTGTGGTTTGTGATGTTGACATGTTTGCTGTTATGACGCAAGTTTCTAGATTTTTGCTTTATTGGATGGATAGTCCTCAGCTCTCATGTACATTTATCGAATGTCAAATCCTAAGTCTATGACAACTTTTCAAAAACATGGTCACATTTGTGCACTAGTCACTGCTCTAATTTCAGGTGGAATAACAGTCCAGACTCACAGAGACTAGGGCCTCGGTGACGCTGGTCAGCACAGACGGTCTGAGGGAGTGGATCAGGATCTTGTGTTCCGTCAGGGCCAAAAGCAGCACAGTCAGCGCATTCTCCGGAGCCAAGTTCAGCAGCAGAGCGGCCGCACTGCCACCGCTGATCACACACAACAGATCAGACCAACATGGCTCACGTTAGTACTTGCATCCTGGTTTATTCTCTAAAGACAGACTGTCCTCGTCACTGACTAAACCTTCCTCGTTTGCTTTTAACAACAACGGAAAATACCCACGTGTCTCAGTTGGCAGCTTGATAGCCCTGAGGAGAACACTTCTGTTGCTTCTCAGGAGGGTCTAAGGACAGTGGTGATGATCCAAGACATTTACGAACATTGGCCATTCGCCCTTTATGGACCCAAGGCTCTATGTGTTTTTTTATCATTGCATTTCCTGAGTTTGAACCGTTTGATTCTCTGATTTGTGTTGGCGAAATGAAAGCAATGTAAAGTCTTCTAAGATAAAAAATAAATCGAATTGAATTGAATCTTAGGTTTGTTTTCAATTACATGTAGAACTATTACTGTATACTGCTGTGTCTGAATGTCTGACATATTGAATGTCATATTTGTAATTAGGGCTGCACAATATATTGAAAAAGTATGGTAATTGGGATATTAAAATGTGTGATATCCATATTTAAAAGATGCACGATAATTTAGAAATATTCATGCATACATTTCTTGTACGCGCACTTTGACAAATGTGCTGCGACTTAGTGCCGCCAGTGACGCTAGAGCGGAGCACACGAAGAAACAAAACAAGCGCATGATGAAGAGACAAATGCAGACGAATGCAGAGAGGAACTAGTTCCAAAAAGACACTTAACCTCTGGAATTTGGCTCTACTTAGGATTTACAAGACAGGACCAATCACAGACCCAAATTATATGCAAGTTATGCCGAAAAACAGTTACGTTGAAGGGAAACACGACAATCTCCAGAACCACCTCCAGCACATCCCCAGGGTGCTTCATGCTGTGTATTTACAATCTAAAACTCCACAGCCTGCTCCGGTCAAATCCAAGGCAATATTTGTTAGAGATTTTTCTGTCGTGGTACAACGTAGATGGCATTTTTAGCTGAAAGACAAAAATATCGCAATGATATCACTATCGAAATACTAAACACCCATATTGAATATTGCTCTGTTTTCCAATATTATGCAGCCCTATTTGTAATGTCACTGCAGAATTTTACATTTGGAATATTGAATACAAAATAAACAAAGGCAGTTGTAATTACATACTCTGCTATCTCTAAACGATTTAGGACTCGCAAGGAAACAAAATGTCAGTACCTGAGGGGAAGTGGCGAGGACACGGGCTGACTCAGGATCAGGCTGTCGTGAGGAGACAGCTGTGGAGACATAAAATCAGGTTATTCTGAAAAGAGAAGCAATGGAATCAAAATGTACTGCTGTCTCTGACCTGCACCAGGATGCGAGGCCTCTGAGGGGAAGGGAACGGGACTTTGTGCATGAAATGACCAATGTGTCTGCAAAGAAAACAATACAGTTAAATGATCCTAATCCAGCTTTAGTCTAGTTTAAAGTTATGGATATGTAGAGGTAGATTGTAAATCACATTGTGTGACCTTGGTCTGTGAAATGCACTATATAAAAGAATACAATACATAAATTACAATAAATAAATACATTCACAATATTTGGACAGGGGGAAGGTTGCGATGAGATTGAAGAACGACGTAAAGAGGACAGAAATACGATTATATAAATAGCTAAAAGATACTATGAATCAAAAATTGTGTCTTTAAAACACACACAAACATAATTCTATCAGTTACCGATTGCAAGGATAAAATGATTGGACAAAAAGCGATAAAACTGGACGGGGAAAAACATATTTTAGACATATTTAGATGTTTTAGAGCCAAAATGTGAACCAATATATGTGCAGATTATGTTTTTTTTGCTCTGGTTTAAGAAACAAACGTGAAGCACGAAGCTTTAATAACGTGGGAGTCCTTACTTCTCGATGGGCAGGGCGTGTGGACCGGAGATGGAGTATCTGTAGAGAAAGGTGAGGAACTTCCTGAAGGCTTGAAAGAAAGGCCAGTGGGAGAGCAGACAGATGCTCTTCGTTGTGTGGACCACGCTGTGTGATCGGTCCACAGCGGCCTCCACGGCGCCTCCCCCAGGACCAGAGGCTGCACTACGGCTCAGTGAGGGAAGGCCAAGCTTCAGGCGCTGCTGCTCGCTCAGACACTCTGGAGGAAACGGCTCATGGAACTGGATCGCTGCTCCGTAAACCTGGACAAAGCACACAAGCGTATAAGAAAATATGTGCATTTTGGTAGTTCATGTTTTACAATCGGAAAATATGTAATTAGTCAAAAATATGTGTGTAAAGTTTCCACAACCAATCAGAAGTAGCCATATTTTGTAGATTATGAATAATAAAGTAAACACTTGTTTCCCCAGATCGTTATAAGAGAAACATTATTGAACCCAGAGTTTGGAAATATCTGTGTTGCAGAACACATGCAGGGAAATAAGAGCAGACAAGGACCAGCCAAAATATACAGAGATAATAAGAATATATCATAATAATGTATCTATATACAAGTTATAAATTTATGCAGATTTCATGAATTCTGACACAGTCCACGCATTCTTACCCTGTCCCAGCTGCAAGCGAAGGATCTACCTGTGTTCCTTCACCTGAGACGCGATAGAGCGCACGTGCACACCCAGTTTATAAAAAATAACACCACTATTAAGTCATTAAGTCATCAGTTCACGAGTTTTTGAAAACATAAAACATTTAGCTGTTTTGTACGATGGAGCTCCATTGTCTACATTACAAACCCACTGTCAATTATGCAGATTTCTATCTCAACATTTTGAGTTTATGCTCAAAATATTTAGTCTTCAAAAGTAAAACTACTTTAATCTAATAGCGTTGGGTGAGCCTTATGCTCCGTTGTACCTTGCCCGGTCAAGTGTCTCATATAATAATAATAATAATAATAATAATGATATGTACTATTATTTCCATATATTTTTATCGGACCTGAAAGACGCTTTAGGCCCGTTTCTGATGAAGGAATATTGCTTTAACATGTTTAAAAATTAGGATTTTCATAATATGTGAGGAGGCGGCGGATGGCCTGTGTACCTTCTCCCCAGAGGAACCCGTCAGGACAAACGTGGAGAAGACAGGGAGGGAGGGGTGAGTGCCACAGGGCCACAGCTCCAGAGACACACCCATGGGCAAACAGAACAGAGGGACAGACTCTGGGAGAGAGAAGGAAGAGTGGTCCTGCACAGGGTAACGACTGAACAGACCTGGAACACAAGAGGTGGGTGAGGAGAAGGGGGAGACAGGGAGAGGAGAGAGCAGAGAGAAAAAAAGGAGAGGAGAGAGAAGAGAGAAGAGAGAAGGAGAGGGGAGAGAGGGAAAGAGGAAAGAAGAGAGTTGAAGGGGGAGATGTTGGTCGACATCAGCACTATTGGAGGACACTACAATAGCATGTTGTGCTGTGGATTTCTTTCAAATCATTGATTCAATTTGTTTCTTAAGTGCACACAAACCACACACTTCTTGCATCCCAGTATAAGCATCAAAACTCAAACAAGAAATGTGTTAGGCAATACTGCATTACCTCAGATTACTTTGTCACACATTACTGCCTTTCACTGTTTTAAGGAGTATCTGTTATAGTCCAACTGTGTACAAATATTCCACTGCTTTCACATTAATGTAAAGCTTGTAATTTTGCCATCTGAACTCAAGGAGACATGGGAAGAACATGCAAACTCCACACACTGGCTCTCACCTGCTTTGTACACCATTGTGTTAGGTTTGAACACAGATTTCTTATAGCACAGATACACAGGAGTGCCCCACTGAAAGAAAGATGGGAAATTATTAGATCTATCACAAGTGCAAGGCCAGATCTCAGGGCCAGATCTCAGGCCCAGATCTCAGGCCCAGATCTCAGGCCCAGATCTCAGGCCCAGATCTCAGGCCCAGATCTCAGGCCCAGATCTCAGGCCCAGATCTCAGGCCCAGATCTCAAGCCCAGATCTCAGGCCCAGATCTCAGGCCCAGATCTCAGGCCCAGATCTCAGGCCCAGATCTCAGGCCCAGATCTCAGGCCCAGATCTCAGGCCCAGATCTCAGGCCCAGATCTCAGGCCCAGATCTCAGGCCCAGATCTCAGGCCCAGATCTCAGGCCCAGATCTCAGGCCCAGATCTCAGGCCCAGATCTCAGGCCCAGATCTCAGGCCCAGATCTCAGGCCCAGATCTCAGGCCCAGATCTCAGGCCCAGATCTCAGGCCCAGATCTCAGGCCCAGATCTCAGGCCCAGATCTCAGGCCCAGGTTCCACTCCGCCACAGTCTCAGCCCCTGTTTAAGTCCCCGCACCATGGTGGAGTTGAGGTTGCGGTCCACCCTGCAGTAGGTGTGTGGAGGCCTCTCTCCTTTGGCCGGCTGGATGATGCAGATGTCGGTCAGGACGGGCCCCTGCGGTTCTCCTGGAGCAGCACGTCTGTAGGAGATGAAGATTCTCTGTGGTGTGTTTCCGCTGATGCTGGCGACGCGTCCTCCCGCAGACGTCTGCACCAGAGAACACCCGGGTCTCACGCGCTCTTTCCCATCGTACACCACTCTACAGCCATCAAAGGGAACCAAGCAGAGTAGACTTTTACACAATTCGATCAAATAACCTTCACTTTACGTTACTTACCTACTACTACTACTACTACTACTACTAGTTTTATCACTCAACATCAAGCTCACAGTTTGTGCTCTAGGTTGCAACCAAATACATTCAAAGTTATTCTTTGTGGTTTATATCAGACTGTGCAAATTGGACAAATTTGGTGTTGCAGTAGTCAATAGAAATGAGGATGGATGTAGATGGGATACCAAAAAGATCCATTACGTCGTCGACACCTAAGTAAGAAGTGTGCATTGCCTACACCAATTCTGTGTGTGCGTGTGTGTCCGTGTGTCTGTGTGTGTCTGAGCATGCGTCTTCTCACCCCAGGTCTGTGAGCGGGGGTTTGTCTCGGCCTCGCCTGTAGCACACAAACACCTGAGGAGCCATGAGGCCTCCACTGTTGAGGTCTGCAGTCAGACCGCTGGGCGTGCTCTCCACACAAGTGAATCCAGGTGGAAGCTCCTCTCCCTGAGAGCGCAGGACCACAGACACGTCTGTGATAGGGGGGAGGGGAGGTGGGGGACGGGGGTGAGGCTCCTCCAGGGGGGTGTGAGGGTCTGTGAGGCCTGAAACACACCATACACAATTTGCTAGAATGAGTTACTTGACTAACCTGTTAACATCAAATGCCAGCGACCTAAGATGTCTGCTCATTCAAATCAATGACCTGTGCTCATTGGCGCATGCTCGCACCAAGGAGGCCGAAATATTAGCAGAAGTGACGCCTGTCAGACACCTCTGGTTGTCTTGCACAGTAGGTGTGCTGTTTGTGCTACTTCCACAGACCGGGGGAAAAAAGTGAGCGTTCCACCTAACCAGTGCAGATTGTAGAGGGCAGCACTGTGCCGCGCTGGTTGAGTTTAGAAGGAGACGACAACACGCAGATTACAGCAGAATAGAGCAGACGAGAGCTGGGAGTCTCCATGCCACGCCACATAAAAGCAGGAATGAAAGCAAGAGCCCAGACCCAGCCCAGTACATGTGCATTCAGAGGTCACACATTTCTTTTTTTTTTTCATGCAATATTCTAGTCTTCTGAGATTTTCAATTTGCCAGGGATCCATCTTCATACATTCATGCGTTTGGTCATGGCCTTTGCTGGTAATTTTACCTTTCTTGACATGTTTAGGGTAGTGTGGGAAACCGAAATGCCCAGAGTAGACTCAGACACAGGGAGAAGCATGTAAACTACCAAGAGCCGACACATAATCAAACCCACAACCTTCTTGCTGTGAGGCCTAAGCACTACTGGCATCGTCTCACAAGCAACTGAGACTCATCATGCAGAAAACAAAAGCACACTATACCTTTCTTTTTTTAAATAAACGGAAATCTTACCTGCCACCACAAAGTAGTCTGCCACACGCTGCTCCATCTCTGCCCATGGGAGAGAACTTCACTGGGGGAGGCTCTGAGGGGCCTGGGGGTCTGGACTGGGCTGGAGACCCTTATAAACACTGATGAACTAGATGATATGTATCTAGTCAAGTCATTGTGAGTGAGTGAAAAACGTTATCTACCTTTTTTGCAAAAATGTCCAATTTCAGTTAGACTGTTCCATGACTAGCCGACTATTACCAAAATATCAGGTGCTAAAGACAAATATGTAGTCAAGAATAAAGAGGTGGTAAGAGGAGGGAGCCAAATCTGGAAGAGAGAGAAAAAATAAATATATTACTCACTCATTCATAAAGGCCTTAGTGTAGTTCTTTCTGCATTTGAGGACCAATACTGTGGAAATAATACATGAATGAATAAAAAACAATCAAGGACAGAACGTATGCAGTGGCAGACCCTTTAGAGCAAATTCAAGAACCTCCTATTGTGAGCCAGATTAGTCGTCTAGTTGTTTTTCATTGTTGTTACATTACAACATGAAAACCTCCAGCTTATATTCAAGTGTGGCCTATTTTTAGAGGAACTGTACGTTATTTTCAGGTCCACTGCACACATGTACGTCAGTATGACATATATCTAATTACACAGGACCAGAGTTCTTCTATGGACTCCAGACACCTACAGTATATGGACCAGAGCATAAAGCGGAGCCACCACCAGATCGCTCCATGTTGCCGTAAAAATATCTCACTAATGCATGTGTGTGACAGGAAGAAACAGAGTAATCCATCGTAACTGAAGACAAGGCAAACGTAGCTCAAGTCAAAACCTTGAGATGTCAGAAGAGTCAAGTGAATACACCAACAACAAACATGTATAATTGTAGGTGTATTGTTGACATTTTTCATTTTTCAAGTCTAATCTGAGGGTTGTAACCCACACGCACATCCTGCTGTGATGTCACAGCCCCCCCCACGCTGTATTTTTAGACTGTGCCTGACGCCAATGACTTACAGCTAATGTCTAATATTAACCACAGACTAATGGGACTTCACAAGCCTGCACACAGAAATATCCAATAATAGCAATTCAATTTGTTATTTATGTTTTTAAACATATTTATACACATTTTTATGTCATTTATTAACTGCAATATTTTCTGCGTGAAAATATAAATATTGGCCATCAAAATATGCTGAGGAAGGATAGGAAGAATATGTACTTTACATATGCACATGCATTATATGTTATTTTACATAAAAACCATCAGACAATTTATAGATGGATGGATGCTTTCTTCCATAAGGGGAAATTCAGGGAACTATCAGCAGCTGATAAAGACGAAACAGACATAAAAGATCCCTTGTCCTTCAGGTGAGAAAACCTTTGGTGTGGTTGGTGCCCTGGTGAGAGATCTCCCTCTCCTCTGAAGGAGAGGTCAGACCTAAAGTCCCGGTCTCCCAGAGCGCTGGTGCCGATAGCGGTGAGGCCAGTGACTGGTGCGCTTCTGCTTGGTTCTTGGTTTATTCCATGTTCTCGGCTCTGGTTCAGTGTGAAACCTTGAATGCTGTATTAGCATACTAGTGCATTTGTTAAAAATTAGCCCTCTTCTGATAGGCAGCGTCTGCTCAATTCTGGGAATCTTCTCTGCTCTGGAGTGTAAAAACCCTAAGTAAAATGAAAAGAAGGAAGTAACGATTGTTGCACAGAGCGACTGAGGACACTCTGCCAGAATGCACAATCATTTATGCTCAGTGTTTGCCTATGCATCAGTACATATAGAATTTCAATAATAATAAAAAACAAAATAAAAATTGAGATGGCAAAAAAATACTTCTTTATATTGATTGTTTGGTCCCCAGAGAGACCAGGTCCAATTGCCATTATGAAAATATAAATATGATAAATATAGAGCTGTACACAACACGACTTGAACACGAGTTTAAGTTATTCTAATGATTGATTATTGTAGTAACTGATTGGGCTCTATTCACAGAAAAAATGCATAGTTGTCTCAATAATAACATAGTTTTGTCTGTAAACATCACCTTTAAAAATGTGACACTTCAAAATCACTCAATCCATCAAAAACAATGGTTGCAGCCTTAATGCATTTTGTCAACATGACCCATATGTATTGCATCTGGGCAAGCCAAGCACAGTTCATTCATACACAAGGCAAATCACTAACAAAACAACAGGGAGTTACACTGGGGGGGAATACTTGGATTTGAACAGAGTAGAAGACTGTCTCATATTTTGGGGGAAACTGCTCAGGATTGAGCTGCATGGATCTAAAACTCTGCCTCCTTCATTTTAACTGCATCTTGGACTAGAGTAAAATCGGAAAAAGCAAAACGCACAGAACAGAACATTTATTTTTGCGTAGCCCAAAACCACAACAGCAGTCATCTCAGAAAAATCAAACAATTAAATGAATGCAGCTATAATCTGGAACAGTCTTCCTGAAAATGTGAGACAGGCTTCTACTCTGTCAACATTCAAATCCAGGGTAAAAACTGTTTTGTTTTAGCTGTACACACAACTGAAGGATTGTATTTTCACTCTTTTTGATGTGCTGTGATGGATTCATTTGAATGCCTTGCGTAGATTGGCTCTATCTTGTTTTGTTAAGCACTGAGTCGCCTTGTGTATAAACTATTCTCAACAAATAAAACTCCATTGCATAGAAAATAAAGCATTAAAACACCAAAGAGTTAGTTTAAGTTATTTGTCCAGATCAACAAATGCTCATGTCCGGATCATCCTCCTGCATCAGCAACACACAGACATACAGTATCGTAGACTTAAATATTATACATTCTTGTGATTTCACCATAGACTGTAAATATTTCACACACCTTAAATGTATGCGTGTAACATAACAAGAAAATGACTGTTTACGTGATTAAAGGCTTAAAAACTTGACGATCGTTTATCAGCACTCACCGCAGCCACAGCCGCACCAAGCGTCGTCAGATGCCACCAAGGGGCCCCAGCGCCGGGAGGAGGCCCCCTGGAGTCAGGGCGGGTCTGACAGGGTGCGTGAAGCCCGAGAAGGAGGGCGTGGAGTTGGGGGCCAGAGGTTGTTGTGTACGATCCACAGAGCCTGACAATGCGCTCCCCTCCGGCGCCATCTTGGAGCAGCTGGGAGTGTACGGAGGCCTGAGTGGGACAAGTGCTTTTTTGTTTATGCCTTCTATGTTATTGCTCCCACAATTATATAACTACTAGTACTCCCAGAGCCGTCATTTTGACTGCTCCCGTTCAACCCAATGGAGTTCTGAGATTTTTGTGGAAGTTTTTTGTATTTTACCATTTGAAATGTTTAAACCATGAAAAAGCATGTTTGAATATTGTTGTCTTTGCTTTTAATTCACAAAAAATTCAATGTGACACAAAATGACGTCTTTTTGATGTTTCACCTTTTGAATATTTTTGGCGCGTCAGCGCCACCTCCTTTGCGCGGTGCGGCGAGGGCCGTTAGATGCCGCTTGCGGCTTTAATTATACTTGTTTTTTGCCAGGAATACCTGGGAAAGAACAAGTTTTCTGTTGTTTGATCTCATATTTGACCCCCTGAACATGCATGAAAACTTACCAAATTTTGCCACACGTTTTGTTTTCACATAACATGTATTATTTTGGTGTTCATTGGTATAAGACTAACAGATTTTAATGGTAGGGGGCGCTATTCTACAAAGTTTATAGCCACTGTGTGCACATACTAAGTCCGATTTACACCAAATTTTAAACGGTTGTACAACTTTTGGGTTTGGGTAAAGTAAAAGTGTAAAACATGATATTGCAGCAATAGCGCCACCTACAGACTCTTTCAAAATTTTACACATTTAGTTTTTTCAAAGTGTTTGAAATTTTGCACATAATTCTGTTTTGTCATCTGGATTCAAAAAGTAAATTACAACCAAAGCTTATTTTTTACCCTGTTGCCGTGGCGACGACAAACACTCCCCTGTCTGTGTCTATGAGAAAATCGTTAAATCTCTGAAAAGTACACCTCGCTCAAACATCAAACCAGCCACGGCCGTTTCCCTAATTTGTCTGAAAATCGCTCCACATGGTGTCCACACATGGACCATCAATAGTTGCATATAGAGTTTTAATTAGTCAAACGGTCTGCGCATGACAGACCCCCAAAGTATGGTCATTTTCATTGAGAGGTGTGAAGTTCCCATGTTATCTCCATGTTAGACTGTGTGGACACACTCACAGATTGTATGTTCAAACAGGAGCACATTTACAAACTCTGATTTGCACTAAACTTGACTCGGTTGTTCAACTCCTGGGCCTAGGTCACATGACAGTGTGAACAATGACATTGGCCCATTAGCGCCCCCTACAGACTGAGTAAAGGTTTACATGGGGATACAGGTATTTAGGTTTTATGTTGTTTGATCTCATATTTGACCCACATAACAAACATAAAAAATCACCAAACTTTGCCACACGTTTTTTTCAGGCATAAAGTCTATTATTTTGGTGTTCTTTGGTATAACAGTAATGAATTGAAATTGTAGGGGGCGCTATTGTACTACATTAAATAAAAACCATTTGCACATACAAAGTCCGATTTGCACAAAATTTGAATTGATTGTTTAACTCTTGGGTTTGAGTAAACTGAACGTGTAAATCATGGAAATGCAGCATTAGCGCCCCCTACAGAGTGATACAAGTGTTACATGGAGAGACTGGGGTTTACCTTTTCAATAGAGACACACAATCACTGATCATAGTAATTCAAAATGCACAGTGTCGCTCCCATCAGGGGGGGAAAAAAATGGCGCGTCAGCGCCATCTCGGTGCGTGGTGCGGCGAGGGCCGTTAGATGCCGCTTGCGGCTTTAATCACTGCTTGTAATTCTTACACAGCTGAATCAATTACCTCAAGTTTTCAATTAAATTATGTATTATGATACAACTTGTATGTAGTAAAAAGCATTTTTATGAACTACTTAGAAAAAAAATCGGGTATAGCTTCTTTAATCTGGGGGGGGGCCAAGATCTGATTCTGCTAATCCTTTCCTTGTTTGGAGAAGGAGATGGACCCAGAATCTGGAGGGACAGCCTTGGGAGTCTCCTGTCTTATCTCAAGGAAGTAATATTTTTATAGAATTAGGGAGGGGTAGTGTGTGTGAATGATTTCTGTTTAGGTCTGGCGAGACAGAGGAGGCCACATGGTGCGGAGGCGGATCTCAGACCGGAAGCTGCCTGATACGACACGCCCCCTTCTTCCTGGACCTCTCCTGATATGCTCTGGTTTGAGCAGGGGGCTGAGAGTGAGCACAGGGCCAGAGAGGGACATGGATTAGTTTTAGGAGCGCTCTCTGTTGGAATTTCTGTATCTGATTGTAAGGAAATTAAATACAGATGTTAAACTTGGAGATCTTTTGTCATACTTCTGCATCAACTCGAACACGTCAGTCAAAGGGAATTTTTGACATCAGATGCAACTGACACCATCACAGCTATACACAGCTACATACCAGTTGGCACGCAGTTAAATACAAATTCAGAGATTGAGTGAAGGTTCCTCTTATAAAGACTCTTTAAACAATGAGTACACAAGTTCTCAGACCACTACAACTTACTCTGACACATCTGCATAGAATACTGATACAGTTAACAAATAACATTCTTCATGTTGTAGCAGCCAGAGAAGTCACAGATGAAGACACTGAGATAGAAATGTCTTTCTTGAATCTTTGAGATACACAACTGAATACTACAACAACTCTCAGCCTTACCTTGAGCTGCGACCTGGCTCCTCTGGGCGTGGAAGTAAAGCTCATGCTGCACTGGGAGCGTGTCTCGTGCACCGGTTAAAGTCAACTTATGGAGCTGAGATCATCCAAAGAGCCTACAACAGGTACTGGGACTGATGCCTGGAGTGCTGTTCATTAAGGGAAGGCTCTCAAAAGCTGTTTGGGATTTTGTTTGCATAGCCCAAACAAACCAATCAGCGTCAACACTTCAAGGACGCCGCCATGACAGTTTCCCGCTGGACACCAGCAGACGGAGTGTGGAAACCATGGATGTACCTACAAGGTGAGTCTAAATGCGTATTTAAAGTTTGTCACTTTTTTCAGTTTCATTTAGTCCACGCTGCTATCGCGGTGTACATTTGGAACACTGTTGTGTCTTGTGAAAGCTGCTAGCTTAGTGCTGTTACAAGTTACAAATACTGATATACATCTTCTAGCAATCATGTGGTTGGAGTTGTACAGAGTTTATTAGTAATGGGTTAATATACATTTGAAAATGTAGAATTTGTTAAACTTAAAGGCACACCGTGTAACTCTTGGCCACTAGGGGCGCTAGACCTGCAACTTTCACGTTTAGCGCCCCTAGTGGCCACAAGCAACTCAGCACTGTCGCAAAAGTCAACAAACAGTCAGCCGGTGTCTTTTGAGTGTGTATTCAGACAGCATGCACTGGTGTGTGTGTTCAAACTGTAGAGACATGCCTACAGATATTGAGAGACTCTGCTGTGGTCAGCCTCCAGACCGCTGCATTAGTAATCTACCACACATGGACTTCTATATCCTGGATGAGGGAGTTCTGCGTCTAGCTCGTGCTGCGTGGAATGACATCTTTGCAGTCGATGACATCCAGGAACCAGGTGAAGAGCAGCGCTCATACAGACATGCAGCTTACAGCACGATCCCTTTCGCGTTTCCTCTTTTTAGCCTCCTCCGAAGGTTTAAAATTTTTCCTTGCCTCAGCCATGACCAGGAGGTGAGCAGGTGAAAAATGAGTAGCAAAAGCCTGTCGTAGAATTATATACCCCATGAAGGAGAAAACTCAAAGGTCCTTTGTCTGATCAAAAGCGTAAGTTTATTGTTAACACACGTGCGGAGAGCCAGCACATACACACAAAGGCAGCATGTACCAGCTCTGAGCGCAGAGCCCCGAGTTTCCTGTATACAGGACACACACGAAAGACAGTCACGCCCACAACAGATGGGAGGGGGCCACCGGTGAGGAGGCGCACAGGAAGCGCCGGCGCCATCCCCTGTGGTGACAGTGGCATGGGGGTGTGAACAGACAGACAATGGTAGAAAATGCACACATACAGATGCGAAAGACACAAGGGTGTGACAGACAGCAGGGACCTTCACAAAGCTCAGCATGGCGTCAGAAGGTAGTCTCTGCATTGAAAAGACCTTTTACGTCCGTGTATTTGCTGCGGCTGGTTTTAATGTGATTACTCTAAAAACTGTCATAACAAGCCTTAGCTCCATGAGTATATCAGCGCCTGTAGCCGTAAAGCAAGTCTTTCTTCCAAGTCACGTGACCTGGTGGCAGACGGTCCGTCTGCTCGAAACTTACATGGGCGGTATTTCAAGAGGGCAGCCCCGCTCGGAGCATTGCAAGTGTCAAGCGCTGTATATTGGCCCAAGTATTCATATAAAATAACTCATATGTGTCAACTCTTTAGGTCACAAAGTCCGCGGTGTGCCTTTAAGTGAATTAGTTAATCGAAATTTGCGTCACTGCAACAAATTCTTTGAGCTATTTTTTAGAAACGGCATTCTGATGAATGTGTTACTTTATATAAATCAATCTATATACACTGAATACATTTTATTGTAAAACGCCTCCGGTGATGTAGACAGACGACCGCACGCATTACTTTGGTGCTTTAGCATGGTTTCACATGGGTTAGATTGTGCAAGTATTTGACACTGGGCATGAGCTATGGTGGCACGTTAGCATTGTTACAGACAGCGCAGTTGACTCATGGATGTATTATATTAACTGGATAGGGTATTACTAGCTTGTAGCTGAATAACTCACGTGCTCAGGGGATTCTCTCGGTACTGCAGACTGAACCAGACTAAATTCACGTGGGCTACCCAGAAACTTTCCCCATAGAACTCAATGCATATTAAAATAGCTCAACCTCAGCTGACAGAGAACCTACAGCTTTAATAAAGATCGGATTTTGTGGGGATTTTAGTGTCCCTTGTCATCCTGAACTTTTTTTTTTCTTAAATCCTTCGGTTTTGTTTAAATCCACACTTTAGTGCCACAAACTCTGCTCGTCTGGCTCTCGCTCTAACTCCCGCTCTGATGAACTGCTCTGATTGGTCAGAGCGCGGCCGAGCCCCTCTGTGCACGTGCGTGAGACCCGGTGTGAGACCAAGCCCCGGCGATCCAAGATGGCGCCCTATTCAAATGAATGGTTGTGCTCAGTGGCGCTTTGTGACAGCATGGGGGCTGAAGGATTAGCGGAAGTTGCCTGAAACTCGCAAAGATCTATGGGAAACTCGCCTGTATTTGGGGCATCGTCTGGTCCTCCCGGTTCTGCGCAGTGGACGAGCTCCCATAATGCGTTGCGCCAAACACGCGTGTGTGGGTCTCACACCGGGTCTTACGCACGTGCACAGAGGGGCTCGGCCGCACTCTGACCAAGTCTGTGGCACTAAAGTGTAGATTTAAACAAAACCGAAGGATTTAAGAAGAAAAAAAGTTCAGGATGACAAGGGACACTAAAATCCCCACAAAATCCGATCTTTATTAAAGCTGTAGGTTCTCTGTCAGCTGAGGTCGAGCTGTTTTAATATGGATTGAGTTCTATGGGGAAAATTTCTGGGTAGCCCACGTGAATTTAGTCTGGTTCAGTCTGCAGTACCGCGAGAATCCCCCGAGCACATGAGTTATTCAGCTACAAGCTAGTAATACCCTATCCAGTTAATATAATACATCCATGTGTGAGACCCACACACGCGTGTTTGGCGCAACGCATTATGGGAGATCATCCACTGCGTAGAACCGGGAGGACCAGACGATGCCCAAATACAGGCAAGTTTCAGGCGACTTCCGCTAATCTTTCAGCCCCCATGCCGTCACAAAGCGCCACTGAGCACAACCATTCATTTGAATAGGGCGCCATCTTGGATCGCCGGGGCTTGAGTTGACTGGATACAGTTTTAGCTATGTTTGCCACATAAACACTGTTGCTGTTACAACAGTGACCACATGTGTGTACTAAAATTGTTTTATATGTCTCCCCAGATGAATGCTGAAGTGATGTGCAGCGATCCGCATCTTTGTTTTGCGTCATCCCTCAAATGTAGTAAGTGGGAAATATGTAATTATCTTTAGCTTCCAGGGGCATTATAAAGTAAATTGCTGTTTGTTTTTGTTAGGGATGGTGTTGATCCTGGGGATTGCCTGCTGAGTTTACTATGAAATAGACACTATACCGCCAGTCATTTTCCCATGGGAGAATCCTACATGAAAAATGAACATTTCAGAAGAACACACGGTATGTGTCTAACATTGTAGTTATTGAATGTATTTTTTTAAATTGTGACAATAATATACAAACGTTTCTATGAGTCAAAATGAATTATATAAACAACCAAAAAAATGCTTAAAAAGTTTGAGGACCTCTGGTTTAATATTTTTTCAATCATACCATATCCTAAGTAAACACTTACAAGTACCACCTTATCTAATAGGTGTATGGGAAGATCTTTTTTTTCTGTGTCTCAATTAGGACTAAACCAGGTGCTAATGGGTCTACATAATTTCTACAGTATTTTTAGTGTGGATTTACTCAGAGGAGGAGGAATATACATAGGCAAACAACTGTTTTTGAGCATATGATTAACCTGCATAAAATACGAGGTGCTAAAGTTTCACAATGTTTTTGGAAGCACATCATTAAACATTAACGAAAAACAATAATATTGTATTCTTGGTTAACATGGCCTTTTTCGCCCCTCCGTGTCTACTGACAAACACCTGATAGTCCCAGCGGCCTTCTACTAAGAAGAAGAAGTATGTGATCCAACCTAGTGTAAGTGACGGCACAATGAACCAGACCAAGTTGTTTGCAATTAATCTCAAGACCAGTCTCCAAAAGCAGAAGTTCAGAGCCCTGAGCAGTCTAGTCAGCTGAACCTCAACAAGGCAAAGTGAGCACAGCTAAAGGCAAAGCTTACAGGCCCGTCTGTGTTTGATGGGACCATTACCCGGTCATGCAGGTGTGTCTCAGGAAGAACCAGCATGTGATAAAGTATGAACTCTCTGGATTTGAAATTGCTAACGCATGTGCAGTGCCACTGGTTGATGTGCTGTCTGTGCCTTGGACTTCCCCTTTCCCCATAAGGATGCCGTCATGAATGTGAAAACAGGGTGGTCTGTGAATAAAGACTCCGGCCTCACCTGAGTCTTCTACGGTCATGTCTTGTGTTGGCTTTCTAGTGTAATATGGCGTCTGCGCTTGCAGAAGATTGCAATGCCACTCACGAAGTGGTTATGTGTGCAGAAAATGTGAGGAAAATATTTAAGCACAGGATAGATTCTCCGCCGCATGAGCGCTTTCATACTGGAGAAAGGCCCTACGAGTGTACGTTTTCTATTTGCTGTAGACTTTTGCCTGCGTATGAGCCTGCGGCGCCACTTGAGGTTCCACACGGGTGAGCGGCCGCCACAGCTGCACTTATTGTGGAAGTGTTTTGCGGCTTCGGAGAAAACCTGAGGCTCTACCTTCGGCTTCCTCTCTGGAGAGAAACCCTACAAATGCTCGGCCTGTGGGAAAACATTTAGGATCCAGAAGAACTTGGAGAAACACTCCCTGTGCCAGTGTGGTGTCTTTCGTTCCTTCTTTCAGGACATCGCTGGTTGTAGTGGAGGCACACACATACACACAATGCCACACGGCAATATCTCAGGGGCCAAACACTGAAATGAAGACCACTCAATATATTGAACTGTAGTAAAGAGACTTTTTAAATACGATTTTAACACTGATAATTTCTCCTCTAACATATATTTACTGTATAATCTAAATACTGTATGTTTTATGTAGAGATATTTTTTCAACAAGGTTTCCCTTTTCCTTAAACTTTGTGCAGATACAATGGCTTTTTCTCTTTATACATATTTTGTATTTTGTAACTTCATCCATGATATTTTTCTAAACATTTAGCATTATTTTGTTAGAATAGTCAGCAGGGGGTTTTTTATTGTAATAGTTTTTGTGTTTTATATTGAATTTGCATTATAAACTAGAGCGTGCTCTTGGTCCTACCGGCCAGGGCCAGGGTGGTCCAACATTTGTTTTGGGTCTTCTCTACTAAAACATCTTCAACGCACCAAATGCTTTGGTTCCGGTCCGTAGTTTTTGTGTAATCCTATCTAAAACACAAGACCCCTGCTCATGTTGGTGAGGTAATGGAGATCATAGTTAAGACTTTGTATTACATTTCATTGATCTTTTTAAAATGTTTTCATAGTTTCATTTTTTATGCTGTCTAATTTACATTCCTCATTTAATAAATATGTGATTTATAGAAATGATGTGTAGTACTTATAGTTTACAGGAAGGTCTTTAGAAGAGTATACTTTATTGGGTTATTACAGTGATACTTGGAATATCACTATGGAAATTTGCCCTCTGCATTTGACCCATCTCTCATGCAGCGAGGGTGGACATTTCCGGAGCTCTGCTTGGTCGGGACCACGGGAGCTTTTCCTTTGGGGCTTATTATACTTTGCCCAAGCATTTCATGTACCATTTTAATGTGTCATTGATTTCACATGCAGCCACTTCCCTCTGAAACAAATTGAGTCGAGGTTGAACGTGAAATGAAAGTGTGTGCAAATCCATGATAAAGCAGCTATGACAACATCAGCGTTATCTGACTCATAGGAACATTTAAATGAAACTAAGTCTACAAGCAGCAGACAACTGAAAACTTCTTCAGGTTTCAAAACTCTTGAGTCCCGCAACACTAGATGGAAGAAATGTGCCGTACCAAATTACAGTAATGTGATGGTAGTTGTAGCACAACTTGAACTCTAGCCTGTTCATAGATGTGAATAATATTTGAGTATTTTTTTTGTCAATTATACAAACATAGACTTACAATAATGTCACCAGTTTCATCAGTATTTCAAATAACACATAGTATTACACATACTTTATTGGCAAAGTTTGGTTCTGTCTTAATTTGCTGCTTATACCAGTATGAAATGATCATGGCTCTTGTCACACTGCGCTCGCCTGAACGAGACCAGCCCACTGGGGGGGGGGGGAATAAAAAAAAAGGCGGAGCAACTACTTTCACTTCGTTTGTGACCGTGACAGCTGAAGAAATTGGACATTTCCACCAGCGCTCTTGATCACTAAATGGTACGTTTTTGTTTCAATTTTAACTTAAACCAGCAAGGAATGCATCTTTTGCGTCGTTGTTATTTAGTATATTCTAGAAATGATATTTTTATTTCATGCTCTTAACAATAGCGCTGAAACTGTTTTTATTGGGAAAAGTGTATTATCATACAAAACTACTGGGACAGATATCATTAGTGGCGTCACCTGAGTTAAATGATCTTAAAACAAATTAAGAAGGCTTGAGTCGGGTCAGTACTGTAATGGGTGGGACTCTGGGTACACCAGGCAATTTTTTATCTGGGGGCCTCATTGTTACCAATCGTGAGACGCATGCGGCCTAAAGTTGCCAAACTATTGGGTCTCCGTAGGCAAGACTCCACCTACATTTCCAGTCTGAGTCTGGTGTCTGCGTGTGCATGGTTCGATGGTGGTTCGAAGGTTCGATGGTTGTGCCTGCTTTCATCAGTTCGCCCCAGGCAGCTCAGTCTACAGCGCGGTTTACCGTCATGTGTATAGAATGAATGAGTATTGAAAGGTATTATATGAAGTAAGGGTATGCATTATTATGTATAGAACCCAATCCATGTTTACTGTGGTATGAAAAGACGCAGTGTATCATTGGTCATGCAATGGTATAGCTTGGCATTAAAAAGTTCAACACAACATTGGGACAGCATATAGCAGATTTTTGCATGTGATGTGTTCTTCTGAAAGCTGGAGACCATTATGGCAAACCCTGGGAGAGAACGAGAGGCTTCAGCTGGCTTGTTGTTGACTTGCCGGTGTGCCAGGACATCTTTACGGACACCACGCCAGCTGCCTGTGGCCACAGCCTTTGCCTCGCCTGTGTTGGCAGCGGATGATCTACCACACTCAGGAGTGCAGCAGCCATTCCCAAACTCAGTAACACCGAGGCCCCCCTTAAAATCTGACGGGTCTGCGTGGCCCCCCAAAATAATAACCAAGAAGACAACATTAAGAATAGGCTCTTCTGGTTATTTTATTTTGGGGAAATAGCCTCTGCTACAAACATTGTAATACAAAAATGATTACAGTGGATTATTCAAGTCAAATAATGAACACAAATATTTTAATATTACAAACAAAACATTATAAATTTAACATTAAATAATTATATTTTTTTTTTTTTTTTTTATGACCTCCCGCGGCCCCCTGCAGTACCCTCGCGGCCCACCAGGGGGGCCGCGGACCCCACTTTGGGAGACACTGGGATGCTGAAGTGTGAGGTGTCTTTGTGCCCACTTCACCTTCGGTCTCACCAGGAGCTGCCGGTTATACTCGGGGCACGCCTTGGTCGAGCCTCTGAGTGACCTCCACCACGCAAATGCCCCCACACGACGACCCAGGTGCTGAGCTACTACTGCCGCGACGGGCCGCTCATCTGCAACCTGTGCTCCCTCAAGACAAGCAGTCAGACCTGGCAACGCATGCCGGCAAGTGATGAAGGCCGGTCACTGTGGTCTGTCAAGCTACCATCATGCTGTCTTCACCTTATTAGGAATCATGTTATCTTCTGTGTGCTTTTAAGAAAATCCCTATTGTAAGGCTGAGCGCTGACAGGCTGAGTTTTCTGTCTTCTAAAGCTTATAGAAAAGATACAAAAATACATGCACTTTGTACTAATCTTTTTCCCATGTTATTTTTAAGCAATTACATGGACGGACAACTTAAGTTCTTAGGATAGCTGTTCAGTATTACTGCCTACAGTGGATAGGCTCAAGGAGAAATCAATGAAGACGTGAGTTAAGAAAAATTAGATTTTAATATTGCATCTTTTGCTGACAAAATGCTATATGATTACCAATATGTTGTAAAATGTACCTTTTTGTTGCACTAAAAATAACAAGACAAGAATGTATCACTTGTTTATATGTTTTATATATTTTCTTTTACAGAGGAAGAGATGAACTTTTCGACTCTTGCTTTAATAGCGTCCACCATCGTCCCATACTGTGTTTGTGGTTCATAGTTCTGTATTTATGGTAAGTGTGAAAACTGACCACTGCGGACTTCTTGAAAAAACAAACTTTTGGTATTCATTATTTGTTTATCCCCAAACAGCTTACAATTACTCTTCAGAGAACCAGAAACTACACGACAAGTGGGAGAAGCAGGGAGAAAACATGTGCAGAAAATGTACACCACAATTGCAGGTGCAATCAGCCACTCATATATACGTAAGAACGTACAAAATTGTTCAGGCTACTATGATATCCTGGTATCTCATAAGGCTCGTGGGAGACGGTGTTGAAAAGATTTCTCGTGTGGAACGCAAATTACACTGAACAAAAGTTGCAAAGTCTTAAATTTTAGCTGAAAGATTTCTTAATAATTTGGATTTGATTTTGGATATTGTCAAATGTGTTACTCACCTCAAATGGTCTTTTGCTGGCGTTTGAAATCTACAGAAGGTACAGGACGAAACACAAAAAATAATTCAATGTTATGAGTTTCCGTTCCAAGTGTTTTGTACGGAATTTCTTTCTGGTCTGTGTAGAGGAGGTAGCTCATTGGGACAGTCTAGATTCGACCTAAAACATGGCTTCAAGATGATCAAATCTTAATCATTAAGCAACTGTAAATAATTATGGTGTTGTACCATAAAACTACTCTTTTTGTGGTTCCGTGTGTAACATTTTACCTTATTCAAATTCCGATTATGCAATTTATGTATAGAATCGTTTGACCACGGTTACCTGTTGTCACTTTGCTCAGGGACTCATGGGTATGAAATGCTCTAGTAGCTATGTTTGGGTCCTGTCCATGTAATGTGCATTGTCCGCAACATTACATGTGCGGACATACTTAACAAAATGTTTTTTTTTATATATGAGGATCAAAGGCCTTCAGTAATATTCACATTATAGAAGGTGCTTATTGGAGATTTATGGGGACCAGTGTGAGGCCAATTAACAAAATAGATGGATTTAGAGTTCTCACGCTAGGGTGTAATGATGCCGTAATCTGTCAGGTGCCATCCATCCATCCATTTTCTTCCGCTTTATCCGTTGCCGGGTCGCGGGGGCAGCAGTCTAAGCAGAGACGCCCAGACTTCCCTATCCACACACACTTCCTCCAGCTCGTCCGGGGGGACTCCAAGGCGTTCCCAGGCCAGCTGCGAGACATAGTCCCTCCAGCGTGTCCTAGGTCTTCCGCGGGGCCTCCTCCCGGTGGGACGTGCCCGGAACACCTCCCCAGGGAGGCGTCCAGGAGGCATCCGGAACAGATGCCCGAGCCACCTCAACTGGTTCCTCTCGACGTGGAGAAGCAGCGGCTCTACTCCGAGCTCCTCCCGTGTGACTGAGCTCCTCACCCTATCTCTAAGGGAGCGCCCAGCCACTCTGCGGAGGAAGCTCATTTCGACCGCTTGTATCCGCGATCTCGTTCTTTCGGTCATTACCCAAAGCTCATGACCATAGGTGAGGGAGGGAACGAAGATTGACCGGTAAATCGAGAGCTTTGCCTTTCGGCTCAGCTCCCTCTTTACCACAACGATCCGATACAGCGACCGCATCACTGCGCACGCTGCACCGATCCGCCTGTCAATCTCACGCTCCATTCTTCCCTCACTCGTGAACAAGACCCCGAGATACTTGAACTCCTCCACTTGAGGAAGGACCTCTCCACCCACCTGAAGAGGGCAGGGCACCTTTTTCCGGTCGAGCACCATGGCCTCAGATTTGGAGGTGCTGATTCTCATCCCAGCCGCTTCACACTCGGCTGCAAACCGTCCCAGTGCATGCTGCAGGTCCTGGTTCGTTGGAGCCAACAGGACAACATCGTCCGCAAACAGCAGAGATGAGATCCTGTGGTCCCCGAACCGGACCCCCTCCGACCCCTGGCTGCGCCTAGATATTCTGTCCATAAATACAGTGAACAGAACCGGTGACAAAGGGCAGCCCTGTCGGAGGCCAACATTTACCGGGAACAGGTCTGACTTACTGCCGGCAATGCGAACACAGCTCTGGCTCCGGTCATACAGGGACCGGATGGCCCTCAGCAGAGGACCCCCGACCCCGTACTCCCGGAGAACCCCCCAAAGGACACCCCGGGGAACACAGTCGAACGCCTTCTCCAAATCCACAAAGCACATGTGGACAGGTTGGGCGAACTCCCATGAACCCTCGAGTATCCGATGGAGAGTATAGAGCTGGTCCAGTGTTCCGCGACCGGGACGAAAACCACACTGCTCCTCCTGGATCCGAGATTCGACCATCGGCCGTAGCCTCCTCTCCAGTACCTTGGAGTAGACCTTACCGGGGAGGCTGAGGAGTGTGATCCCACGATAATTGGAACACACCCTCCGGTCCCCCTTCTTGTAGAGAGGGACCACCACCCCGGTCTGCCACTCCATTGGCACCGCCCCCGATCGCCACGCGATGTTGCAGAGACGTGTCAACCAAGACAGTCCTACAACATCCAGAGACTTTAGATAATCAGGGCGGATCTCATCCACACCCGGAGCCTTGCCACCATGGAGGCTACCAACCACCTTGGTGACCTCAGCCAGGGAGATGGATGTATCCGCCCCAACATCCTCAGCCTCTGCCTCTGTAACAGAGGACGTGACGGGGGGATTGAGGAGAACCTCAAAGTATTCCTTCCACCGTCCGACAATATCCCCCGTCGAGGTCAGCAGCTCTCCACCCGCACCGTACATGGTGTTGGCAAAGAACTGCTTCCCCCTCCTGAGGCGCCGGACGGTTTGCCAGAATTTCTTTGAGGCCGACCGATAGTCATGCTCCATGGACTCTCCGAACTCCTCCCAGTCCCGGGTTTTTGCCTCTGCAACAGCCCGGGCCGCGGCACGCTTGGCCTGCCGGTACTGGACAGCTGCCTCAGGAGTCCCCCGAACCATCATGGCTCGATAGGACTCCTTCTTCAGCCTGACAGCATCCCTTACTGCCGGTGTCCACCACCGGGTTCGGGGGTTGCCGCCGGGACCAGCACCAGAGACCTTGCGACCACAGCTACGAGCCGCCGCATCGGCGATTGAGGCAGAGAACATGGTCCACTCGGACTCCATGTCCCCCTCCTCCACCGGGACCTGGGAGAAACTCTCCCGGAGGTGTGAGTTGAGAGTCCGTCTGACAGGGGGCTCAGCGAGACGTTCCCAGCTGACCCTCACTACACGCTTGGGCCTGCCAGGTCTGACCGGCTTCTTCCCCTGCCAGCGGATCCAACTCACGACCAGGTGATGATCGGTTGACAGCTCCGCCCCTCTCTTTACCCGAGTGTCCGAGACACGCGGTCGAAGGTCAGATGATACGACAACAAAGTCGATCATCGACCTCCGGCCTAGGGTGTCCTGGTGCCACGTGCACTGGTGGACACCCTTGTGCTCGAACATGGTGTTCGTGATGGACAAACCGTGACTGGCACAGAAGTCCAACAACTGAGCACCGCTCGGGTTCAGATCAGGGGGGCCGTTCTTCCCGATCACCCCTCTCCAAGTGTCACTGGCGTTTCCCACATGGGCGTTGAAGTCCCCCAGGAGAATAACGGAGTCCCCGGGTCGGTGCACCGTCCAGTACCCCTCCCAAGGACTCCAAGAAGGCCGGGTACTCTGCACTGCCGTTAGGCCCGTAGGCCGTCACAACAGTGAGAGACTTGTCCCCCACCCGGAGGCGGAGGGACGCGACCCTCTCATTCACCGGGGAGAACTCCAACACGTGGCGGCTGAGATGGGGGGCAATAAGAATGGCCACCCCAGCTCGCCGCCTCTCCCCGCGGGAAACACCAGAAAAGTGGAGCGTCCAACCCCTCTCAAGGAGTTGGGTTCCAGAGCCCAAGCTGTGTGTGGAGGTGAGGCCGACTATCTCTAGTCGGTATCGCTCAACCTCCCCCACAAGCTCGGGCTCCTTCCCCCCCAGTGAGGTGGGGGGGAAAACAGCAGTGTTTAATTCTGTTGTGTATTGCCCTAAATCACAACAGCAGTTTTTTGGAGGACTTAACAAATTTGTCAAATCTGAGAAAAACGTGTTATAACAAAAATGTTACTTAAGATATTAGACATAGAGCAAATAGATATAAGTTGGAAAATGTAATGATCTACCTGCAGGTGTAAGCCAGATCCCATCAGACCTCTGAAGCTAACCAGGACAGGGCCTGGTTAGTACTGTAAAGGGATACCTCTGGGAACACCAGATGCCACAGTGGGGCACTGTTTAAAACTTTACTTTTTATATTTTGCCCATCCATTTTATATTTTATATCCATTTTCTACCACGCTATCTGCGGTCTAGTTGAGTTTCAGCAGGATTAAAAAGTTCCCTAAAAGTCCCCTCTTTCCAGTTAGTGTATTTTACGATACAAAAGATTTCAATGGATTGGAGATTGTAAGTGTCCTTTGGAGATTGTAAAACTGATCACCCTCATCCTTCACTTTCTCACCAGGTCACACATTCATTTCAGGCTCCGAGGATTCTTGCAGATTAAAGGTATTTAGGACGATTTTGCCGGAAGTCCTGCCTCTCTGGAAAATTGCCTTTTCCTCTGTCTTTCACATCTTCTCATTGACCACCAAGGTCACCTTTGCTGCGCTTCCGTTTTAGCCAAAATCACAAACGACAATCATTCATTTGTGAGCACAATGAGTGACAGTGAAGTAGTGAGGTACACCAATTATTATTATTATTATTATTATTATTATTACTACTACTAATATTTGTATTTGTTGAATTGCTACAAGCTACTCTCTTAATATCAATTATTTCGTTTTTTCTAAATTACTTTTGGTAAATAAATTTTGTCAAGAACTGTGGTTGTGATTTTGGACTCTTTGTCACTCTTAAATCAATCCCTGGGGCACATTAGATTTGCTTAACCCCAGTTTTGGCCAAGCATGCAAATGTTTTTAACTCGACACTTGTTTTCACTGTAATGAGGTCCTGTTGAAGAGAAGATTGATCCATATCGTTCCGCTCTGTTGTTCATATAGATGCCATCTTATGACATTTCCTTGTGTCTTTTGTAGCTCGTTCTCTACATCGTGCAGATACGACTCGGGAAGACTCCAGCGATGAAGAATGCAGCAGCTTTGACGCCATCTTTGACCTGGAGGACATTGAGCTGGACGCTGATGTCAAACCAGGGGGACGTTACAGCAGCACCACTTACAGCGGAGCAGCGGCCAAACGCACGGGGATCCAGACCGGGGACGACCCTCTGTCTGCACTCGCCAAAAGCACTGAGGAGCAGGGGAGGAGGAGGAGGAGGAGCTTAGCAGAAGAGGAAGAGGAGGAGGAAGAGGAGAAGGCTGACCGCAAACTTGCTCGAGAGATAGAAATGTATATGGAGCATGTGAGCAGCCCCCACAGGTCAGGAGCAGAAATGCACTCTCTCTCTGACGCATGCTCAACCATTGACAGGTTTCTTTCTCCATGGAGCATTTTGTAGTGACTCATTTGAACAAGATTGATCTTTATGTCGATTAAACAATTCAGGGTAAATGGTCAGAATCAGTGGTCTCAAACATGCAGACAATGGGCCACAAAAATAGTTTTTTGTGGCCCCCTAGTGGTCTTCAAAACTTTAATGTCAGTGTGGCCCTCACTGAGTCTGTTCAAATATGATATATTTAAGATAAGATAAGATAGACTTTATTGATCTCACACAGGAGAAATGTACATGTCACATCTGGCATGGATAGAATCACTCAAGATTGTGCAAAAAGAAAGAAATGTGCAAAAAGAAAGAAATGTGCAAATATGTTAAATTTAGGTTATATTATGTACAATAAAAAGTGGCAATCAAGAAACGGTGTCAATAGTAGTGCAGGTTTTTCAGTCCTAATTCAAGTGACTTATTGTACAGTCTGACAGCAGTGGGGATAAAAGCCCTGCAGACTAAAATATGGTGTAATGTTTATACATTTTTTTAAAGCAAATTTTAACTAGAGAATGACCATATCATATTTTTTTCATAGAAATAAGTAAGAATTATATAATTATTTATATATATTATATATATAATTATAAAGTCATATTCAATTACTTTCCACCAATGTTGATTCTTGGTTTTCCTGTTTTTGTCTCTGTTATAAGCCCAATTGTTTACTTTCTCTACTGTTAATGTTAAAGACTGAGAAGTTGAAATTAAACTCAGTTAATGTCTATCCAGGAGCTAAACTGCGTGTGCTAGTAAAATAGCATGAGCAATTTTAGTGGTTTGATTCTATCTCTGCGTGTGCATAGATCCGTTCTCTCTGAAGTGTATATATTCTGCACACACACAAACATCTGATAAACATACCCCATAATTTCATCCAGCTTCATCCAGACTCGACCTCATGTGGCCATCAGATAAATTGAGTTTGAGAACCCTCGGACACTGAAGGACTGACAGCAGAATTCACTCATTCACGCAGCCGCCCCACTGTAAAGTGCCAAACTGCCTTTGTGTCCTTAGGCAATACACTTTACCCTTATTGCCTAGAATGAGTCTGGTGTGTGTGTGAATGGTTGGTTTTGGTCGGAGGGGCCGATGGCGCATACTGGTTGCCTCGCTTCTGTCAGTGTGCCCCAGGGCAGCTGTGGCTACAGTAGTAGTTCATCACCACCGTGTCTGGAGTGAAAGAATAATGACACATGTGAAGCGTCTTTGAGTGTCCAGAAAAGCGCTATATAAAACCGATGCATTATTATTATTATTATTATTATTAATATTATTATAGGAGCGGATTTGACATCTACCAACCTGCAGAGCAATTGATTTTGACCACCGGCTCCGCTAAAGATGCTTTTATATCAGGAACAGGATTCTAACTGCTAACCCTAAGCTCGGGGGACACGCCCTCTGCCAGCTGAGCTACTGCACTGTGGAGCAGAGCCTCCTTTCACTCTGCTGTGTGTGGTATGAGTGAAAACGTCTGACTGTTAGACTTTTGTAAGATTATGGTCAATGACCCACAATTACTTGAAAAGCCTTTTTTGAGTTTTTAAGAAACTTTTGCAACTGCTTTAAAGCGTATGGATGTTATTTCCCAGTGTGAACGCGTCTTTATCAAGGAGCCAAAGGGGTCGAAATGTGCTTCAATGTGAACGCATTAACTCAAATGTAAAAAACACACATAAGAAGAAGGTCCTTTATTCATCAGTGGGGGCATCATTTCAGTTTGATAAATACTGAGACATAAACATCAAGGCATGCTGCGAACATTACTTCAGCGCTCCTTATAGGAAAAGTGGGTTAAGTGTCTTGCCCAAGGACACGACGACTGCCGACATCATTGGAGTCAGTCTCGCAGTGGGTTCGAAGCCACGACCTTCAGGCTCAAGGCCAATGCTCTACCAACTGAGCCACTGTCGCTCCATAATGGAGCTGATCCACTTTTAAGTAAGCGATTCATGAGCAAAGCTGAAGTTGCTGTGTGCAGATGTAAAAAAACAGCATATAAAAGCTGAATAAACAAAATGGCAGAATAAAAATGTTATAATGTTGGTTTTCTTACTGACATTATTTAACTGTTTAACCGTTGTCTCCCGCAGGTCACCGCTCCGTGGCCCCCTCTCCGGCCCTGCCCCTCAGACCCCGTCCCGCAGCAGTAGTCTGGTCTCCCCCCTCAGCTCCTCCTCCTCCTCCTCCTTCCCTCTGGACTCTCTGCTCACCCCTAAACTGGACAGTTTCCGCAGCAGCGTGGTGTCTGCATCCAGAGAAGTGGTGGACAGAGCCAGCCGATGGTACCTGCGCATGTCCACTCCAGGGAGCACCCAGGTAACACTGCTACAGAGGCCTGAAACCAGAAGACACTTACAAAAGCCCTGTTTCCACCATCCCGACTTGGCCTTACTCTACTCGGCTCTATTCTGCCCCGATTAGTGTTTCCACCGGCCCCGTTTAACCTGTACTTTTTAGTACCTACTTAGCCCTGGTTCTATCCTGGCCGAGCTGATACTAGTGTTCAAACTGACAGTGACTACCAAGGAGTAGAGTATGGCTGGTGGAAAATGGGCTATTGTACGGCTGCAACATTTCCAATGAAATATCCAATTATGATTTTTCAGACTTTTTTTTTCTTCCATCTATTATGTTATTATGCTCAGAATGAGATCTAATGTTTTTGCTCCATTGGAAAATATACCACAGTCAACATACACAATACTTCAGGCCATTCTCTCATTCCTTTTACTAGACATGAGCTTTTACTCAATCCAATCGATCAATCACATTTTATTTATCAAGCGCTTTTCATACAGAAGATGCAACACCAAGTGCTTTACAGTTTGGTTAAAACTGATCGTGCATGCCCGTGACCCCTCCTCCCCACCACCCCACAGACCCACCCCAAACCACATATATTATTAAGAACGCACACACACATGCAAGCTCTGGCCAGACCCTCTGTCTCTTCTCCTGCAGGATGGGGACTTGCCTGGACTCGTGCTGGACTCTTCTGACTCGGTCCTGGGGAAGAGCTCTGAGCAGAAGAATGGTCTCATCTTGGGCTCTCCAGGTGTAGGCCCTGGTCTCAGTCCTGGTCCAAACCCTCCCCTGAGGAGAAGCCCTGTGTGTAGTCCCACCAGGAAATCTGCTCCACACTCAGGTAAAAGGAAGCACGTATCACTTTGTTTAGTTACTGCATTGACCCGAATACACCTGTTCATGTAGTAGTTCAGACCTGGGGTGACCCTGTAACATAAGTTTCTTATTCACACTGCCTTCTTCTAACTTTTGTGTGTTCGTTTATTTGGGCAACATGCAATAACAATGTGAATGGAAAAAGGTTTTTGTTCGTAGTTGTAAAGTCACTTTATGTGGTACAAATAGAACAAATATATGTAAAAAAGTTTCTGGGTGTGTGTGACTGAAATATGTTGTTGACTCTGTTCCAGGAAAGCGGGTCTCTCTTCCTGGTTTACCCGACCGTTCTGAGGCCTCGTCCCGTTACACCAGCAACTCCAGCATCTTCAGCCACTTTGCCATCGAGGTCAGAACACAGAACATAGTGTCTGCATCAGAGGGGCGGAGCTTCTCTGATAGAGACGTAGCTTTTCTTAGATACTGTGATACTGTAAGAACATTTCACCACAAACACTATTTAATACTAAGGACAATTGAATACAATAATACATTGAAAAAAACATGTCCTTGGAACCCCTGTGCTGCTGGGTGCACTCAAAATAAACTGTACAGCATCCTGGAAACTTGGATCAAAATGGTTCCAAGGATTTGGGACCAATCACAGAACGGGGAGGGATTGAAAGACGATGATGATACACAATTGGACAGCAGTTTCTAGTGTGCAGATGGAAGCAGATCCTCCTCATGTTTCACTGGTGCAAACCAGTTGGGGCGGGTCTCGGTGTTCTGTCGAGTTGAGCTGCCTCCGCTGTTTATGATGTAATGCAAACCTGCTCATGTGCGTTTCACGGCAGCCTAAGCAATCCAAGATGGCGGACATAATATCCGTGAGTTGTGTAAAAAGTTAAAAAATACGAACCAATTAAGACACAAATGTCACTTTTAATGCAATTTGAGGCGAGATGTTGATGGTTTCATGTTGTGATATGTGGGTTTTAGGAGTAAAAGTTTTGTGTAAAGTTTGGTGTAAGCAGTAAACTGCTCCTGTGAAGCCACACTGCTGCTGTGTGATAGCAGCACCTTTCCTGTCGAGTTGAGCTGCGGCATACGTCATTTTACTGATGTAGGCTGATGACGCATTCTGTGGTGCGTCATCAGTCTACTCGACAGCTAACAGACCAGTCGACAACCCGACTGGTCTGTTAGCTACGTTCCAGATGTTTGTCAAAGCTGAGGGGAGTATATTGTTTTGGACCAGTCTAGTTTAGCCGCTGTGGACTGCCCGCGGCCATTATGAAAAAGACTCATAGAAACCAAAAATGATGACGCATTAGTTTCAACGGCAGAGATTGGCGTGACTACGCCCGTTCATATTTACAGTTTATGGTTCAAACGGAAGTGATTGTCGCTCAGATTAGGATGAACTGTTGTTTATGTTCATGTCCAGGTCCTGATCTCCAGCTGCTCCCTTTGTACCTCCTGCAATTCCCTGGTCTATGATGAGGAGATCATGTCAGGATGGAGCGCAGACGACTCCAATCTGAACTCCACCTGCCCCTTCTGTTCCTGCACCTTCCTCCCACTGCTCAACGTGGAGATCCGAGACTTCAGAAGCTCCGGGAGGTACGAGACTGGAACTGGCTTTGTCTTATTTTGTCCCTGAAACATGAACTTGAACCTTACTTTTATCATTTGGTTTTATATCACGCTTTTTGAGTCTATCAAAGATGGTTGGTGGTGGTCAGAGGGGCCGATGGCACACACTGGTTGCCTTGCTTCTGTCAGTGCCTCAGGGCAGCTGTGGCTACATTAGTTATTTATCAACACTGTGTATAGAGTAAATGAATAATGACATGTGAAGCTAAACAATGCATTATTATCAGTGTTGGGTGTAACGTGTTAGAAAGAAACGTGTTAAACTGCTTAGCGTAGTGTCTCCTTGGTTTGACAGCTTTAAGTGGATAGCGTAGACTGTGGATAAAAACAGTAACACAAAAGTAACGTAATAAGTAACTTTCTATAGAGAGTAACTAAGTAATGTAACAGGTTAGCTTACAAATGAAGTATCGAGAAAAGTTACTTTTTATAAGTAATTTCCCCAACACTGATTATTATTGAATAATGCATTGATCTGTTTTAGACTCCACCCCAAGACCAGTGCTGAGGATCGCAGCAGCTCGTCATACTCCGCCTGCAGTGCCCTGAACTCAGGCTGCAGCTCCGTGTCCACCCCCTGTCCCTCTGTATCCTCCACCAGCTCTCCAGACTTGAGCTCCACTCCTGTCCCACCCAGCGCTTTGTCCAGGTGAATTTCTCACTCACACACCAGCTGCTGCTCTCTGTGGGGCTTTGAGACCATGTGTTCATGCGGAAATTAAACAATAGAGTCAGAAGACACTCTGATCAGTAGGACCTATGGGCTCACACTTGACTAATTAAGGAGTGTTCATTTTGGTTCTTGAGCATTAGACAATTGTAAGAAGTTGTTAGGGTTACCTTGACATGTTTCCACGGTAACTTCCGTCAAGTGCAGGTCAAAATGTAATAATAATAATGATACAAACATGAATAATAGGCTTAAAACAGGCTTGTGTTGTAACACTCACGCAGTATGTAAGATATTACCAATCATATAATAATAACTGAGTTCATGATTAAACAACGTGCTGTTCAGTTATCTGTAGTGTAATGCAAGAATCAAATAGCTAGACAGTTCCTCTTTTGCTCCAAATTATATTAGGATATCACAATGATACAAAAAACAAAAATAAAAAAATCCACTATAGGTCCCCTTTAATGTCCCGAACAAACGGCACGGGCACGCTCCCAACCCGGCTGAAAAGTCTGTAGTTAATCCAAAATTTCTCAGGCCGAAAGGCATTCGCTTGAACTGAAAGAGTCCTTGAGATGTGATGAAGGCAGTTTTTGCTTTGCTTACTTCATCCATTGCTATTTGCCAATAGCCCGATTGCAGGTCAAGAGCGCTGAACCATGAAGCATTTTCCAGTGACTCTAGGATATCGTGAATGAGTGGCATGGGATAGGCATCCGGGAGTGTTTTGGAGTTGACTTTTCGATAGTCCACGCAAAATCGGTCACGCCCGTCTGGACGGTCTACCATCACAACCGGAGAAGCCCAGGAAGACTGTGAAGGCTCAATAATGTCCTCTCTTAACATTGTCTCTACATGCTCCTCAATTATCTTTTTCTTTGCCGGAGACACCCTGTATGCTTTTGTTCTGACTGGTATCCCGTCATGGGTGATGATTGCATGTTTCTCTACCGTGGTCTTTCCTAGAATACCGGCAGTAACTGTTGGCCACCTCTCGATCAACTGCTGTAACTCTCTTGGGTAGTCTGTGTCATAGACCACTGGTGTAGCGTGCAGCATTTCCTGAAGTGGAGGTGAAGCCCACCCCAGTAAAGCAGAATTTGGCCGCACCGCATAATACAGGCTCACAGAGGATTGTACTCTTTCCCATGGGCTTGGCTGAACCGACGGCTGAAGGAATGGATAGAAGGTGTAACGTGGTCCAATCCTCAATCCATAGCATCTTCTTGCAAGATTTAAAATGATCCCAGCTTCTGTGAGAAAGTCCAGTCCAATGATAACCAGAAAGGCCAGGTGGCGATCCTCCATTATGTGCATGTGAGTGCCCCATCTTTGTCCATGCCAGTCGACTGGCAGCCTGTGCTTTCCCAGCGCTGAGTGCGCGGTTCCATCAGCCATGATAAATCTTTGTTCTTCAGCCTGAAATAAAGTCTCGTTTTTGTAATGTATCTGCTTCCAGAGACTTTCGCGTATCAGTATGAAAGTACTTCCAGTATCAACAACAGCCGCCCCTTGGACCCCGCGTATGGCGATAGGCACTAGCAGTAGCTCGGGTTTGGAGTCAGTTTGTCCCGGTTGTTGGACAATCGACAGGCCTGCCATGGGTTTGGGCGGAAACGTTTTCTTTTCAACTGGTCTGCGACCGACCTTCTCACTGTTGGCTTGCACTTTTTGCCAGTATTCCTTTGCTCCAGTACAGTCTTTTTCCACCATGCTTCCCACTTTCACTAACTCAGCGACCGTTGTAACTGTTCCACGGAGGCACCCCGCAAACTTAGGGTTGACATTGTTCAGAATACGTCGGACCAACTCGTCCTCTCGGATGTCCGGTTTCCACTTCAAGCACAAAGCCCGATAATCATAAGCAAAGTCTCTAAGGCACTGGTCGGGTTTTTGAACCATCGATCTCAGTTTCTCCTCCACTTCGCTCATGTAATCTGTGGGCAGAAAAGCGGACATGAAGGCATTTTTGAATGTTATCCAGTCTCGGACTTGGGACTTGGCAGCTTTCCACCAGCTTAAAGCAGGACCCTTTAGGACTGTAGTCAATGTACCAATGAGTTCCGGATTGGAGAGGGGTCGGATCTCCAAAAAGTTCTCACACTGCTCTATAAAGTTCAGTACATCTGCAGCCTCACTGTCAGGACCAAACGTGGGGAACTCAAGCCGAACAGGTGGTTTAGAGTAGTAGGGAGACGCACCTGCCTGACTGAATGAGGTTAACTCTGGAGGCACAAGCCTAGCATCTGTAGACCCTGCCGCAGTACGACTGTTTATAGGCGTACTAGATGGTCTCATTATTATGCTAATCTCCTTTTTCAGCTTTTCATCACGGCACAATAAACAATCAACAACAGCTTTTTCTAGCTTGGCTAACTCTGAAGTGAACTGTCCCTCGAGCTTAGCCAAAGCGGCATCAACAAAATGCCTTAAACTAGTCTCTCTGTTGAGTGAATTTGTTACCGACTCTTTACCTCGTTGCTCGAGTTCAGAAAACCGTCCCTTCAACACTGCTACAGTGTTAACCAATTCACTAAAGCGTTCCTGTGTAATCTGCCCTTCCCGTTCTCCCTCTGGATCAGCGGCACTGCCTAGGGAATGCAACTCTTCCCCCCCAGGGTGAACATGTTCCTCCGGAGCAGGATACAATAAGTTCTGTGCAGCACTTTCCTCATCAGCATTGTCCTGGTCTGAAGCATCTTCGTTTTCCGTTGAATACAAAGAACCTAACAAAGACGATACTTCATCTGTGGTGCTGCGTCTAGTAACAAACGGTCCAGCCGTAAAATCCATATCCTCCCCCCTAGCCTCGGTCTGAGGGACCGGCTCATCTAGTAGGTTTGAGTCTCCTGGCTCCATAATATACAATACACACACAGATCAAAACAACAGCATCAAAATCAATTCCTCGTACGGGTCACCATATGTAACACTCACGTAGTATGTAAGATATTACCAATCATATAATAATAACTGAGTTCATGATTAAACAACGTGCTGTTCAGTTATCTGTAGTGTAATGCAAGAATCAAATAGCTAGACAGTTCCTCTTTAAAAAAAATCCACTATAGGTCCCCTTTAATGTCCCGAACAAACGGCACGGGCACGCTCCCAACCCGGCTGAAAAGTTTGTAGTTAATCCAAAATGCAAAGGAATCCTGGGATCTTCCGCAACCGAAAGCCACTTGTCCCGTACGTAAAGCAAAAAAAAGGAAGTTTATCTGGAGAGATACGCGCGTCTTCGTGCCGGCACAGATTAAAACACGCACGCGTAAAAAAACCATAATGGGTAGATCTCACCGGTATAGACGACAGTTCTTGCTGGTCCACATGTTTGGAGGAGGAAAACCCTTCCAAATCCCTGGAACAGTCCTTGGAAACACGTAAATTCGCCTCTTCCCCTGTCTGCGCCTGGAGCAGGGACGCCACCGGCCGCGCGCACACACCTGCCTGCCTATATCTCAATCACCGGCCATGCGCGCTCCCTTGATTGTAAACCCCGCATCTAATACATATAAACCGTCCACATACGTTTGTATACCACACCCACACATTCAGACCCAACATTATGTGGCCGTTGCTACAGTGTGTGTGTCTCTTTTCAAACAAAGTACATTTATTTTTTCATGTTTACTTTACTCTGTGAATGATTGTTGGTATATCTATTGGTAAATACATAAAAATGTAGGACCACATATCCATAACGATTGCTTTTGAAACAATCAGATCGGTGTCGTTAAGACAAGCAGATGGGATTAAGGTTGCAGAGACTGAGAATTGGGTCACTTCAGGCTGAAGTCTGAACAAAGCAAATCCTTAACAAACTGATGTTGTTCTAGAGCTGGTGCGTCTCAATGCGCTGCACTTCCCTCGGTCAAACACAGGAGGGCGCTGTCTCCAGGTCAGAGTTTGGCCCGAAGTGTTAGTGACAACTGTGAAATCCGAGAGCTCCCCCACATACTCCCGCAAGGCCTGCCCGTGTCGGAGAGCCTCCCCTCACACCTGAGCCAGCCCCCGGTAAGTCCCATCATACACACACACGCACACATATACACATACACACACATATACACACACTCATTTCATACTAAGGTCTAGATTTGCTTTGAAGCTTCCTCACGTTCAGCACAAACTTGCGCCCCAAGTGTTTCATGTACATCGTCTTTCATTGTCTTTACCAACAGCTGCTTTACCAACAGCTACTTTATCAACAGGTACTTTACCAACTATCGCAATGCATCCTGAGATAGCAAGCACTTGTGTGTCTGTGTAACCAGTGCAATAAATACGCTGCCTGTGTTCATGTCTCCTATGTTTCCTCCTGAAGCACTGAATCTAAGACTCACTAAATTAAAGCTGGTTTGTCACTGTGAAAAAACATCCAACATTGTCTTGTTTTAGGAGTGTGTGGAGTGGTGCATGCGTCGCCCAGAGCCCGTGACTGTGCCGTACCTCAGTCCTCTGGTTCTGTGGAAGGAGCTGGAGTCTCTGCTGGAGAACGAGGGCCCTTCCTGCCTGTGTGAAGCCGCCTTGGTGGATCTACACCCCATCATCTTCTGGAACCTGCTGTGGTTCTTCACGCGACTGCAGCTGCCCTCACACCTGCCCGGCCTGGTGCTGCGCTCAGACCACTGCAACCGCGACGCTCCGGTGAGCTTCCACCATCTCCCACCACATTCATCCTCAATCTATCACTCCAGTTGTGAGTTCTACGCAACAAGATTGCGTAGGTTTACTCCGGGTGCTCCGGTGAATGGTGACCCCAGTCCCATTTTTGTGGGGAGCGAGAGACAAATTCCCACAACTAATGTAAAGTGCTTTATGACTGGTTTGAGAAGAAGCTATATTAATAATAATGACTTACTTACTTACAAACTATATTCATATAAACTCAGGAGGGCCCTGTTGCCTGATATAAACTACTAAAGGGGTTCATCTGGAGTTTGCTCACTACTGCTCTGTACCAAGAGGTGGCCGGACCTGTTTTCATGTAGTTACTAGGGGTGTGACAATATATCGCAATACTTTCTCCCGCGATTCGATTATCGATATGCATTTGCCAAGTATCGATATCGATTTAGAAAAAAAAAAATATATATATATATTTTTTTTTTTTCTTTTACTTTTTTTTATTGGTATCAATACTTAATATATGGCTACATTACGCATCTCCATTCTATTTATCATGAAATAAAGAGTATTTTTTCTTTTATTTATATTGTATATTTCTGACCAATATATCAATAATCGTCATATCGTGATAAAATCGTTATCGTGAGCTTTGTATCGTGTATCGTATCGTATCGTGAGGTACCCTTAGGTTCCCACCCCTAGTAGTTACCATTCAATTTAATTTAGAAGTGTAGAGTGTAAGCTACTGTTACAAAAGCAGTGGTTAGTTGCACACATGGCTGTATTATGGTATTGCTAAGCCAGTGTCCAGCATGGTGGTGGACCGTGGTACTACAGGCTAAAAGTCGACCCACAAAATGTTCCACAGACCTCAACAAAAACTGCTCGACCTCAGTTGTCACAGGATCTACAGCTGTCTCAAAAGTCTGGTTCAGTGGGATTTTAGTGTCCCTTGTCCTCCTGAACTTTTTTTAGTTTTCTATAAATCCACACTTTAGTTCCACAAACTCGTTTTTGTCCGCTCTAATCTGCGCATGCACAGGATGGTTGTCATCGTCACCTTCTAAATGAGTCACTAATATTTTAGCCTCCATAGTTCGAGCCTACGGCAATGAGCACAGGTTTTGATTTGAGCAGACATGGACAGGGCTTGAATTTACCACAGAAATCAACTCTGGACAGGGGGCCCCGATTGACAGTAAGAGTCAAATTCACTCAGGCCCCACTCTGAGCTGCTGAGGTTGTGCTCAGTTGGTCTTTGGTTTCTTTTCCAGGTGTTTTTCCCTCGTGAGCCGATGTGTGACGACAGCAAACACGTGCTGGTCCATACGCTGTGGGACAATCTGAAGTTGCACCAGGACCCTCTGCAGCCGCTCTACCTGCTCTGGAACTCCTACAGTAAGAACTCCCCAGACGCTTCCCTCTCCAGCCTGTCAAATTCAATTCAATTTATTTTAGCCCTAAATCACAACAGTAGTTATCTTGGAGTTCCGTCATCACACTATGAAACAGACAATGGGACAGTGGGTGAATAGCAATGAACAAACTACAGCTGACCGATAAGTCTGCTTAAGACTATTTTAAGCCTGGCCTTGATTGTAAAGACTGTGTCTACTTCCTTGACGTGGATGGGAAGCTGATTCAATGGCAAACCTGGGCAAAATACTCCCGGGGGTCCGGCCCGCCAAGCAATTTAATCCGGCCCATTGCTCATTTTTCATAAAAGTGTACATTTTCATGTTGTGCCAAATTTCTGACCTGACCCTCCACTTAATTTTCTCTGTATGTGGCTCCCCATTGGGAATAAAATAGTTACTCACCCTTGTTCAACTGCAAAGAATCTGAGCAGCTAAACGCTCTCCCTAAACTTCATGCAGCACATGACGAGTGTTAAAGAAATCATTTCACAGAGACTGCTTTTAAATTGTTTACAAATAAATACACACAAAATAAATAATGTGCCCAAGTCTTAAAATACTTTAGACATGGCTCACAGTTGGATGTTCTCCTGTGTCAGATGTGGGCTATCCCAGTCTTGGTCCAGTCCCAGAGCAGCAGAAATCCTTCAGTGAAGATGTCCTCCGAGGAATCATCCACAACATCCAACGAAACGACCTGAACAGACCTCTGAGCCAACTGCTGCAGCTGCTGGGACTCACACTGGGAGTGCACAGACAGAGGTATGGAACCGGACTGAAGCAGGTCTATAGTAGGTCTAAAGTAGGACTCAAGCGGGTCTGAAGCAGGACAGGCGCAGGACAGGCGCAGGACAGGCGCAGGACTGGCGCAGGACTGGCGCAGGACTGGCGCAGGACTGAAGCAGGTCTTTTTTTTTCCAGGAGTGTGTACCGTGACCTCTTATTCTTGGCGCTTGTGGCTCTTGGCAGAGAAAACATCGACGTGGGTGAGTTCATGTCTTTACTGCAGAAAAATTCAGGTGTGTGTGTGTTATAGAAGTTATGAGTCCTGTCTATTTGCTCCACATCCATCTCTCATTTAGAGTTAAATTTTTGCGACCATTTCATTCTTTACTAATATCTAAATTCAAAATGTCAAATAAATACCTTTTTATGGCTTGTGGCGTCCAACTTCCCTTAAGATCTGTGACCTCTTATTTGTTGTAAATAATAATATTAATTTCACAAAGATAGATTTTTTTTTCAGTAGCAACATAACTAATAATCCCACTGGTGACTACTGTCCTTGTGTCCTAGAGACACTTAACCCCATTTTGCCCAAAAAAGCCTCCGCTGAAAGATCAAGGCTCCTGTGGACTCACCACCTGCAGGAGGATCAGTGATGGGCTGGTGCTCTGTGTACTGAGTGCAGCTCTGACTGCCACCCCCTGACCCAGAAATGGATTAAGGGTAAAAAAAAGGATGGTTGGATGGATAGATGTGTACTATATTACTTTAAAATGGTGAATTTGATCTTTACTGAGAGAAGACATGCAGTTACGAAGGGGTCAGCCGAGCCCTCTCCCCATGGGTGACAACAAATGCCTGAGTTCACAGTGCGAACAATAACAACGTTGTGCAGATGAAGCATAGTTTTCTGTTCAAACTACTTTCCTTCCTGATCTTTTACATCATTGCCTGTGTTTTTGGCAACAATGTGTGTCTTTCATGGCTCATCTGCAGCTGTAAAACAGCATTCAGTGACCTGGCCTCATGATTAGGATGCATCCAGTTCCACCATAATGCCTCCTTCCCCTTGCCCCAGGAGTGGGTCCTCTCCTATTGGTCTTATCACAGAGACACTCAGAACTAATGCTTTCTCTTGTGTTTCTTTTCCCAAGATGCTTTCGATCGAGAATACAGATTGGCCTACGACCGACTTAGCCCCGCCTCCCTCAAACTGACTCAAAGCTGCGACACGCCGCCCCCTGCTGGAGTGGTTCAGTGCAGGAGAAGTTTTGGAGAGCCCTATCTATGACCCCTGCAGCTGAGCTTTGATACATACGCTCAAACAGAAGACTCGCATCATGGCACCCTCATCCACAGCAGAGCTGCAGCTGTTTTTGTCTTCATCCATGCTGATGTGAGGAGTTTATCTGGGTTCACCACAGAGCGTTCTGCGAGTGAGAGGGGACAACGGTCATTAAAAACAAAAAAATGACATTCTCACAAGTGGCTTGAAATCTTTGAATCATTGTTTGCATATGTCTTTTTAAGACCAAGGAAGATACTTTATAACGAGAACTCCCAGAATTCTCAAATTACCAGAACTCAAACAGTCCTTTTGACGGCTCCCATTCAAATTAATAGAATTCTAAAAAAATCCCAGGGAACACAATTCTGCAACTTTACTACAGTTCTTTCCTGTTGCTCTGAACCAGTCAAAAACCAGCACCTAGAGAAAAGTTGCTTTAACTGCCATAAATGTTGGTTGCCAAGTGACCAAAATGGCTAAATTTGATTGTTACATTTAATGAATGGAGCAGTCAAAATGACTGTTGTGGGACCTCTCGCATTTAAAAGATAATTGAATAATAATAATGATGCAGAAATAAACTACATTTAGAGACAGGAAAGGTCACAAAGAGCACTTTACACCAAAACTAGAAGTCTGGTGCTTGATGCAGCGCCGGGGCCTTCTCCAGGTGTGGAGGTCAGCTCGGGCAGGACGGCAGGAGCTGGGGAAGTTTACCTCTGCCGAATGTTTTTAGTGGTGGAGGACACTGGGACCTGATGCACAGACGGACATGGGATTGAACCCACAACCTTCTCGTAATGATTCAGAACAGTTCATTTTCTCTTGTTGTTTTGATGTTGAGACAAATGCTGGAGCGATGTCTTCGTCTTTGCAGTGTAGGTTGTAACAGGAGGGGTTTTAGACTTGGCTCCTGTTTCCTCCAGTCTCTCAAAGTGGCGTAGAAACACAAAACCAACACAACCTTCTCGCCGTGGAATATGAGGGCTCACCACTCAGCCACTGTTGTGTTGTGTGGTAGTTTCTGTCATGGCGTCTCTGCAACTCAGGAATAAAAGGGAAAAACTGTTGAGGAGCGTGATCCACATTAGTAATATACAAACCAAAGCCAGATTCAGATGTGAAATGTTTTTGTGTCTTGTGGTTAGAAATCTTGAAGTTCAATAATGGTGTATTGTCTCGTTTCATTGCAAAAATATTATTACAAAGTTTATTTGAAAATACATTAAACACACTATTTATTTTAGCTGATTTAATACTTGGTGCTGGAAATTCAAAAATGGCAAAAACGGGAAATTTTAAGGACAAAACCCACGCACTAAAAACTTTTGTTTCAGCATCTCCCTATGTTTTAATTCTGATGTTAAAAACGTACCTCCTGCTCTTGGAATACATACTGTACTTTTACTCTGTGTTTTTGGTGTCTGCAGGACTGTCAGAAGGTCCAATGAACAGTCTCTATGTTCTGTTTCAAGTTTGAAAATGTTCAAAAAGGATCTTATTTCTGTAAGTATAATAAACGGTATCATGTCGTGGGGGTGGTAACATGTCCTGAATTCACTTATTTCTGAACTGAGTCACATCATTGGGACTCTCACTCCTTATGGAGGCACTCTGCTTCTGAACAACAGTGTGTGTGTTGTTTGTGACGGCACCTCCAAGCATATGAGGAGTCTAAATGGTTTTTTTTCCGCATACATTATTTATACGTATCCAAAACCTTTTAGGATTTTTACTGTTTCTGTGATATCTAGAAAGAAGCCTGCTGATAGGTGCACTTCACTTCACACTGAAAGAAATGACTAATGGTATAGTTGTGCAAGAAATGACAGTAGTTGTGGGAACATAACTCGTACGGTTAGTCTGGTTCCTTATTTAATTTTGTTAATTTTTGGGGGGGGATTATGAAACATTAGACCATGAAGAATAAGAACTTCTTTGGTTGACCAAGTTCAATATGACTTTTCAACACAGACTAGACATAGACTACTTTTTCAATGTTTATGATTGAATAAGATATTAAATCCGTAATGGAAGAAATGCTGTTAATTCCACATGTTCATTACAGACTGGAATTGTACAATGACTGAAGATGTGAGTAACTACAAAATGTGGTTAAATGTGTCTTAATCTGCTGCAGAATAATGGTCTCTTGAAGCGTACTCGTCCTTATTACACACTTATTACACTATGAGACCCTGGTCCTGGTCTGAGTCCTGGTCTACCTCCAAGTGTTGAAAGGTTCCTAATACGTTGAATGTGTTAGCAGGCCAAGGTCAATTAGGGAGCACAAATACTTCAGCTTGTCTTACGAAAAAGCCTGAATGAGACGGTGAAGCCGGTCGTAACAAGTTATAATTTGTTGGATTTGGTGAAAGTGTTAATGTACTGGTTTTTAATCATTGCTAAATGAGCATATTTGGGTTATTGGCGGTGATTACATGGACTTATGCAACAGGATTATCGTTGGTTTAATACTCTGTTATGACTTAATTCTTGGTTTATGTGATCTGTAATCTGGTGAATGTAGTCCTCTCAGGCTAAATGTAAATGAGGATTTTCTTCACATACTTTCTCTCTGGAATAATCTGGGCTGCGGAGCTTGATCCGGCCGGAGTCGGATGGAGAAGAAAAAAGCCCTGGTCTGTATTTTTGTGGACAGCAGAGCTGGGGGACCAGTGAGGGAGCTGAGGCAGAGGATGAGGGAGTGCTCTGATTCGTCAACAAGGGGTCTATGAATCCTTCACAGCCAGGGTGTCAGACTATACAATGAACAATAAGGTCTGATGAACCCTTTCAACATGACCTTAAATGTCACGCATGTGTTCAACAATGTCAGAGAGTGTCTGCTGTCACTTTTAGCCCAGAGCCTCATGCTAACACGTACAATACGATCACGGTGAACATTTGAACCTTAAAACTCATGAATTATTACGACAGTGTATACAGATTTATCTAAAGATATATACAATTACTGTACTTTCTGCTGCACCACCTACATTTGAAAATAGTTTTTTTCCCCACATAAAGGCCACACTTGAAATATAAGCCGCAGGTTTTTATGTTGTAATTTTGCAGATGAACAACTTTAACTGGTCACAACATGATTTAATAACGATGCATTACAATATAATCTGCCACCATTCTGGTCCACCCAGACGCTTCTGCCAGTTCATGGTGGAGGTTACAACATTGAAGTATTCGATCCATCTCAGATCTCAGACTTCATCCATGTGTGAAAGGAACTGTTCTGTGGGAGATGGAGAGTTTTTGCCCGTGACACGCCCATGGTATGGGCCGATCACAACAATCGAGTCTACGGAGGGAGTCTCCAGCCCCCAGATGCACTTTCTTTGTGATATTTGCCACAGGTCGTATTTGAACATTTTGAACTGCATATTTGACCTCACCTCTGCACAGATTGGCTCTGTGGAATAAAAGACCTTTCAGTGTTATTAAAGATCTCCAAAGTATGGCTAAAACTCCAGACTGTCCAAATCTGTGTCTTTTATCACAGTGTTTTAGATCATTATTGAGAATGAAAATGATGGACATTTGTTATTGATTGTACCTGAATAGCAGAAGAGGCACAATGAGCCTTTTTTAAACCCCACTCAGACATGCACTTGAAGCTGAGGCCCCCATTCATAGTGCCCCATGTCTAATGCAACGGAGGACACACACACACACATGGGCGCACCCTCTCACACACACACACACACACTCTGCAGCCATTGTGCACCACTGAATGAGGATGTTCTTTTGAAACACTCGGATCGCTTACATGAGGGAGGAGGAGAGGGCTATACAGTCTCTAGGTTTATAAAAGTCTTGGTTTCAAACCCTTAGGACTCCTTAGGTTTGGTATTAGTCTGTAGGATTGTTTGGCCATGTTTCAATTTTATCCACTTTACTCCACTTTACATTTTCACAGGTTCCACAGTGCTGAGAATAGTGGAATAGAATCACGATTTTCATTACAATTGCTCAGATTATGCCAATCCAACCAAGCAGGAGCACGCCAGACTCCACCCATCTCCTACAGTGAGTCCAGTTTTAACAATGAATACAAACTTTGAATGTTCAACAATAACAGTGGCTACAGTCATTTGTCAAATAAAAACTTGCAGAAGCATTACAAAGGTAAACTTTTTGTTGATACATTTATACTTTTTGTGATATGACTATAACAATATCATCGCTTGCCAAGTTTTTTTATCGTGTTTATTGTCCGATGGGATAAACGTACGTTCCCACACTCTTCATTTCAGATAGTAATACTCTATCCAGATATTATTGCCAAACTATCTTATAGCTGTCCCACCCATGGGCACAGGGGGCGCCCGTGGTACTGCAGACTAAATTCACGCGGGCTGCTTAGAAAAAAGTCCCATAGAACTCAATGTAAACTAAAACAGGTCGACCTCAGCTGACAGAGAACCTACAGCGCCCACAAAGGTCAGATTCTAGGTGGATTTTAGTTTCCCTTGTCATCCAGAACTTTTTTTCTTCTTGAATTCTTAGGTTTTCTATAAATCTACACTTTAATGCAACAAACTCTGCTCGTTTGGCAGCCGCTCTAGCTCCGCTCTGATCCGCAGCTCTGATTGGTCAGAGCGCGGCCGAGCCCTGTGCACGTGCATGAGAGCCACACACATATTTGGTGCAGAGCATCATGGGAGCTCGTCTACTGCGCAGAACTGGGAGGACCAGACGATGCCCAAATAGTGGCGAGTTCCGCTAATCTTTCAGTCCCCAAGGCTGTTCCATGCGCTGCTGAGCACAAGCCATTGATTGGTTTCCATATTTCGCTTTTCTTCATTTTTCACTGTTCATCCTAAAAGTGTGATAATAATTGGGGTGATACACCATGCAACAATCAGTCAAATTATAGCCATTTTGTGCATAGAGGTGATGTCACCTCATGTGCAACGCTTGGATCAGTGCTCCTCTGCCTGTGAGCCCGCCTCCCCCGCCCGCACGGTGACGTAGACTCTCGCCGAGTTTGAGGTAAACAAAAGCTAACTGTACAGCTGTCACTGTTACAGAGTCATTTCAGACCTAAGGATAAACTTTTTCCAACAATGGCAATCCGTCAAATCCATAGACTCCTATGTCCCGAGCCAGAATCAGACCCAAATTATTTAGTTCACAGTGACGAGCGAGGCTCCTGTTAGCATCTTTTATGTTGGAAAAACACCAGGTTTCCAGATCAGCTTTTGAAGTAGGTCCCGTTTCAAGCTAACCGTAGTTCTGGAACAGTCTTTGGTGAAATGTCACCATCACTTGCAAAGAAACACTTGCAAGTTTCGTTGCGGAGGCAGATCCCCATTCGCCTCATTCCGTCTCCAATCCAAATACTGTTGTCACACATTTACACCCAAAAACACATTTTCTCCAAGTTGACATGAACTCAAAAAAGCACAGACGCGTATTTACTGTATGTATGGACCACACCCTGTACTAATGGCCCGCTCACACCGCCATCTGCGTCAGCTTCACAGGCGTTGGGTTTGCATTCAAAATGAATGGTCTTGTGTGTCAAGTGGCGCAGAGAGGCCGGGCGTGATTTGGCGGCCGTCAAAAGCTTTGCTTTTGGAGGTTTGGTGCATTTGACGCGTGCGTCACCTTGTGGCGTCATCCTTGTCTGTGACCAGACAACTTCATACATGTCATGGGTGGCTTAAATATTTAGTCCCGGTGGCGGATGTGCAGCGCACGCGCAGTCCGCTGTCCTCTGGATGGATGCTGGTGCTCCGCGTGTCCGTGAGAGCGCGTGCACGTGTGCTGGTGCCCGCTGTGGTGGCAGAGGGGCGGGAGGAGAGAGAGACGCACGACCAGCCCGACAGACAGGGCTGCTTTTCGTCTCCATGTCCTCCATCCCCGCCCGCTGTGAGAGAGGACGTGATGGCGCTTGCATCCGGATCCAGACAGACTCAGGTCCAGGGCTGAGGAGGATGACTGAGAGAGGAGAGCAGGGGCGCGCCAGTGAGAAGGTACAGTACGTGACCGTGACGCGAACTGGATGCGCGAGTGTCTGTGTGTGCGCTTGTGTGTGTGCGTATGTGTGTGTACGTGTGTGTGTGTGTGTGTGTGTGTATGTATATGTGTGTGTAAGCGGTGTGCTCTGGTTCTCCTCCTCGGGCCCAGTGCGCTACAGAGCGGCCAGAGACTGCGGAGGTGTGGAAAGATTTTACTGCGAAGCGACGCGCGGTTTGGGAGCGGAGCAAAGGCGAGGGATAATCACTGGGAAATGTGATGAAAATGTGGGGCCTGAACTAGATCTTAACCGGTTAGAAACCCAGTGAAAAAGAAAAGACTAAACCAGGGCTATACTGGATGTGAACCAGGGTTACAGCAGGTCTTCGGCGCCAGACATTTTTGGTTGGGGGAGCTGAGGGGGAGCTGGGGGAGCTGGGGGGGAGCATAGGGGGAGCGTATATGGTGCCTATGCGCACAGTGATTCCCCTGTGCAGAACCTGCGCTTATACATTACACTATACTACTCGGTCCCAATGTCTGTCTGTGCTTAGATCAGGTTATTAGTTATTAGTGACATGAATGAACGTGGGAAGCGATACTTTGAAGCCTCAGTCGAATTAAAACACTTTATTTGAGATGCTTAAAAAAAGAAAAGAAAATCAGACTCGTCCAGGGGCGGAGTGGGACACTAACATTCACGGGGACATTTCTAGCAGCACTGGCCCACCACCACTCGCTCCTTGCTTTAACATCATCGCAGCAGCAGGCATAATGAATTATTTAGATTCTGGAATATATTTGCAGTGTCTCAGTCGTTTGATCATCAGACCGAGTGAACAGGATGAAGACTATGGACAAATAAGACATTGTTGTGTGTTCAGAATCCATTCCTCTTCTTTGGGAATCAAACATTGGTCAATACAGGATGACTCAAAGATGACATCAGAATATAACAATGATGCAAGTACATTATGCCAAACATGACATTTAGCATAAATGACATTTGGCATAAATGTCATGTTGTAGCAGCCCACGTGTTGTTATTGATTTACTCAGACACAGTGTAGTTCTGATCGCAGTCACCACTTCCCTGTAATAATACGACAGCATTATCTTTCTCCCTGGACAAACCGGGCAGACTTGTTTGTTGGCGATGTTTATTAATGTTTTTTATTAATTAAAATGTTTGGCTATTTACATTTATTTATTTATTTAGTATTTTAGAATCTGAAATGATGTCTTCAGTAGAAAATGTATGGTGAACCAATCTATGAAGGGAAATAATGCCAGAGGGAGGTGACATTTGTTTGTTGTTTTGTTTTATCCAAAATGAGATAATTGCCGTCTACTACCAACAAAAACATGTAGAGAATGTAACTGGGAATTTACCCAAACTAATTTATGGGCAAAACTTTTGTTGTAAGTGTGATGAATGTGATGTCATAGTGGTACAACGTCCTCATACTATCGCAGGACAGAGACAGAATTTTATAGACTAAAGAGTTACATGTTTGTAGTTCCTGATATTAGTGTGGATTAAGCTATGAACAACTCCAGACACACACACAGGTGCACGCATACACACATAGGCACACACACACATACACGAACACACACACACACATACACACACACACACACACACACACACACACACAGGCAGAATGTAGGCCGCTGTTGTTATTATGGTTAATCCAACATGTGAGACGGGTTTAATGCCTTTAATATATTTCATCAACTAGTGTTGCTCGGGTGATTCAAAATGTCCAAAATAATGTCGTGTTGTCAAAATAATCTTGTGTAGTTTGTGTAATTCTTTCTCTGGTGATAAAAAATGACTACAAGTGTGACCAAACCAATTGTGTTCCCAGTGTTTCACCTGAAGGTAAAACACACGTTCTCAAACTCTCATTATGCAACAATTGTGAGGCTAAAAAAATCCAAACAAAAACAGTAACCAAAAAAGTTCATGATCACTAAAAGCAAAAACAGCCACATAATCCAATAATGATCATTTGAATAAACTGTACGACATCCAACCCCTTTTCAAAATTGTTTTTGCTCGCTGTAAAAAAATAAAATCTTTGCACAGGTTTTGCAAAGATTTAGTCATAAACAGAAATTAGCAACAGCACCGAGTTAAAAGCCCACTTCACTTTATTGCTTGTCCCCGATGGGGCAATTTGGTTCACAGTACAGGGACACTTAAAAAACATAACATAAGGAATTTCTCCATACATTCAGACAACAAGGTGCCTACATACAGTCTTCCAGGACTTCCAGGAAAAAAAAAAGATGACAAAAACTGTCCGCCTCAAAAATGCAGCCCCTATTTTCTCTGTCTATGTCCGAGTTTAGTGTAGAAATAGCTGCAGGTACAAAAGAGTGTTTATATCTATTACTTACTTACTACTTACTATATCTATTACGAACCATTGGGGTTCTGAGTCTGGAACCAGACGGCAGGTAACTAGACCAGGGGTGCCCAAACCTTTTGCTTCCAAGGGCCAAAGTAAAAATTTGCCAGTGGGCCGCGGGCAAATACACATTTCCCAAATTAAGTAATCTATTTTTTTAACCTTTCATTTCATTTCATTTCATTTCATTTATTTCAAACCTGCTCATGTCAGTAAACTGTTTGTTGAAGACCTTTTTCTAAACAGTTTTGCATTACTATAGTACAGTGAATTAAAATGTATAGGTTTATTGTACAAGCAAATGACATTTACTTTTTAAAAGTAAAGTGTATTTTCATATATTTAGTTTTAACAAAAAATTTAACTACACTTGAATCATATTTCTTTATCTTAGCTTTTATCAAACAAGGGGAGACATCACTGATCAATAGATCTGGTTTTAGCACACTTTTAAACAATACATTTTAACATTAAGTAATGAATTTGGGAACGTAATTGCTAACTGCATTTTCTAAATATGATCAGGTTTTAACTTTGTTTTAACTTAATATTTTTAACATAGGGCAAGTATTCTCAATTAGTAGTGAACTGAATATTAAACTAACAAAATCAGACTAGTTAACCATGATTTTTTCCTGGAGTTTTGTTTTGCCTAAACACAGCACAACATTAATAAACAATCAAAACAAAGTAACTGTTAAAGAATCCGTGTTTCTGCTCCTCCAAAGGGCTCTTGAACGCATCATAAAATTCGATTGCGAGTGATGACGGCGCTTACCGGCTTCTTTCATGGGGTTGTAGAAGGGTTTGTTTTGCACAGTATTTGTTGCTTCTACTTGCGCGGATTGTGCGCTGCGATCGCTGTTGTTCCTGCTTGAACTCACTCTGAAGTGTGTGTGTCTGTCTTTTTTAACACACCGGGTGGGTGCGGATTGCGCAGGTGAACAGTTCCACTCGCCATTTCCCTCCGGTGAGGAGGGGGAGTGGCAGTTCGCCAGCACAATCCTCTCAATTTGATAAAACATTAAATTGCTCAAAAAAATAATGGTAGTAGGCTGAAAAAAAAAGAACATAAAGATGTGTTTGATTTTAAGAAACATTTTAGAGCAAGTTGAGGTGAACCATGAGTGAGGAGTGTATCTCGATACAACACTAATGTACTCAGAATTGGGCAGATGTAGGACGACGTGTGTCGGAGCGCCCGTGCGATTTCAGACTTGTGTCTGTGCGTTCAGCGAGTCTGAGGAACACAGATAGACACTTGTAGTGGAGGTGGGCAAAGTTTGGCGGGCCAACTGAAATTGTCCAACGGGCCAACTTAGGCCCGCGGGCCCCACTTTGGGCACCCCTGAACTAGACACTTCATGAAGAGGATGAGTTTGTTACCCATAATCCTCAGAGCCTTCCTTGTCATCCGACCAGTGAACAGTTCAGAAAGTGGAGTCTGAGGAACTCCCAAAATCTTAGCACTCATGTTTACTATTCTGAATTTTTGAGTGAATTTTTCCCCTTGACATTGAGGTTACCAAACTAACACATCATGGAAACTGTTAAAACTGACTCAACACAAGATTTGTAAAACAGTCTCATTATCGTCCTGTCCACATGAAAATAAGCCAGTTTCCGGAGGCAGAACAGATGCTGATGCCATTTCTTACACAGAACATCTGTGTTTTCATTGAAGTTCAGCCTGTTGTCGATCCATGTCCCCAAATACTTGTAACTTTCGACGAGCTCCACTCTTTGACCTTTTATCACCGTTCACAGGTTTTTTCCTGAAAAGGCTGAGGCAGATTATCATTTACATTGCTTTCATCTGTACTTAATCTAATACATATAGTTAGATCAAGACTCTAGAGACAAAAGGGGTTTTTAGAATTGTATTTATTGGTTTACAAGTAATCACTTACTACATATGCAACATTGACATTCCCCACTGTGGGAGGAATAAATCTCTTAATCCTAACCTGAACCAACAGCTGATGGAGCAAAACAAAGCCAGGTGTTTTAAACGCAATGTTGACTTGTAATTGACAAAGCTTTGAAAAAAACAATGAGCTCTGAGGAGACAAACATTAATTGTCTGCTTCCGTGACTCATTTTGCCGATCTTTTCTGACAATAAACATGCGTGACTCCGATAGCTATAAAACCCCTGGCCTGTTCTGACGCAGCCCTATTCGCATATATCCCTTTATGTCCATTTCCCGGTCTCTCTCTGCTGTTCACATAAACCACAGCTGATAGAGCAGTGTCTAGATTCAACCGTTAGTGTGCCTTGAAATGTTGTTTGGTTGTGTAGACCGTTGTGAGACAGGTTAGCTTTATCCTATTGATGATGTATTGGTGCAATAGTAATCCTTGGATCACTTTCAAAGGCCCCAATGTGAGAAGATTCGATAGACTTTTTTGCGCCTGTTTGATTTTCTATATAAACACATTGATAAGGACTTTGCTTTGTACAGAAAGGCCTCATAGTTTCACACTGCAAAAAGGGACAACAAAATAAGCTCAAGTTTGGTGAAATGTATACAGTATTAACTTTTTGACTGCTTCAAAACAAGATTTGCAATTGGGTCAAGCAAAAATATCTTGTTTGAAAAAGGTACAAGAAATCCTCATTTTCATTAGTCTCAATAGATAAATAGCTAAATAACATACATGCTGTAACATACTAAGAACCTAAGGTCATACTGAACAACGAGGCCTTGGAGGAAGTGGACTCCTTCACATATCTGGGAAGTGTTGTCGATAAGATGGGCGGAACTGATGCAGACGTGAAAGCGCAAATAGGAAATGCAAGAGCAGGGTTCCTACATCTAAAACATGTTTGGAACTCAAAAGATCTGACTCTGCAAACCAAAGCCCGACTGTTCAACTCCAACTTCAAGTCAGTTCTACTCTACAGAGCTGCAACCTGGAGGACCACCTTGGCACCACAAAGAAAGTACAGACATTCATAAGTTCTTCATATCCGATGGCCGAACACAATAAGCAACCAGGACCTGTGGCAGAAAACCAACAAACTCCCTGCAAGACGACCAGATCCTGAGACGCCATTGGAAATAGATTGGCCACACGCTCCGCAAGCCACTCTGCAACATAACTAGACAAGCGCTGACCTGGAAACCTGAAAGGCAAAAGAAGCAGAGGATGGCCGGAGAGAACGACACACCATGTGGCTACTGCTATACTATAAATGGTGCTTTAATTTTAATTTCCATTTTGTTGCATTCATGCAATTGTGGAAATACAGCGAATAAATCTGCTTTTTGGCTCAGAGTTCACATACCTGCGTTACAGCATTGTCTGTTAGATATTGATCACGTCCCAGGCTGGACTTCGCTGGAGCTGAATTAATGCCCCAAACGGTGTTTCGCACTTTATTGTTACTCTTGTTGCAACCAAACTTCAGCAGTAGAAGTTTGGAGATGAATCTCCTCCAGAAGAAGTTTGATCGCACTGTTTCTCTCCAAACTGGGGTCAGCAGCCAATTTTCTCTCTTTTTGTTTTTCAACTTCTCTTTACAAAGCAAACATGTAGCAGTCTTTCCTTATTGGCAATGAGAGCAAATGTTTCAGTCCATTCTTCCTTGAATTCTCGGTTTTTATCGACTCTCTCTTGTTTTAGCTTTGGGATCTAGGCAGACTCATGTCGCACACGCCGGTTTGTTTACAAAAACGCCCGCCTGGAGCGTGGCCGCTGTCAACGGATACAACGCAAATCTATGTGGAAATATGTTGAAATTGAATAGTTTATAGACACATTTTTACAGCATTGGAAAACTTTAAGAATGTTTTTCCTCATACAGAAACCACATTAAATCTTGAAATAAAATAATCCCTCCCACTCCATTTTCAGACATATTTGAGGAGCCACTTGAGGGGTCTAGATGATCCACCCGGAAACAGAACATACCTTTAAACCAGACTTGTCCAGGGGCCCACAACATGGATTTTCAAACACTGGATTCTAAAGTTATGGAGCTTCACAACGAAGTGCAGCATGACTATATTGGTGAGGCTAAAGTTGGCTGGATGACACTGTGAATGTGCCTCACTGGCTGTGTTTGGCTCACAAGTCTTAGCTTTGGCATCACTGGGCTACATGGAATCAAGGTCTAATTCAGGTCTAAACTTCATTGTGATTTATAGATTGGTGTTAGTGCAAAACTGTCTTCCATCTCACACTGCTCACGTGCCATTATTGAGTCAATCTGAGACACGAGGACTCAACTAGGATTCAACATGGACTTGATTCCATTTATTTTTGTATGGCCCTAAATTACAACTGTAAGTACTGTATCTCAGAGGACTTTACAAACACTGGATTCCACTTGAGCGAATTACATAGGCCTTGCACCTACTGTATTAACAGAGCTCAATGGAGCAAATGCAGACCTGAGTACAAAATGAAATGCCCAGGCTAATAAGGCTGATAAATGTCATTTCTTCTCTGTCCACAGGAAAGGCTCGACATGGATCCTGATCTTTCCCCTTACCTTTGAGACTTTACCATTTGAGCAATGCACTTCCTCCAGTCAAAGCCCTTCAGAGTTGCCGATGTGACTCCTGACCATGCGGCCGCCCTGCCTCGGCTCCTGAGCGAGGTGCACCTGCTGCTCCTGCTGCTCCTGCTGCTCCTGCTGCTCCTCTGACGCCATGCAGTGCTCCTGGAAGTCTGTGGTGCTCTTGGCGTTGGCGTCAGTGGCCATTCAGTACACGGCCATACGAACTTTGACCTCCCCCTCCTACCTGCTGTGCCCCGCCCAAGCCAACAGCAGCCCCTCCCCTTTCTCTACTGATCCCGCATTTGAGCGCGACAGCCTCAGGTAATTTTACAGTTTTTTTTTATTTTTAAACCCGACAAAATGGATTTTTCTTTCTTTTTTGATCTCTGCCTCCTTTTGGCCTGTGCACAAAAGTGTAGTATAATGAAGTGCTTTTTAAAAGCACTTGCAAGTGTGCTTGTGCAATGCATCATTTAAAGCTAAGACCTTCTAGTTTTTGTAGAAATACACCTGTAGAATGTGACTGTAGAAGTTGCAAAGGGAAGAAAAACCTATTATTTTACCCTCGCCTAATAATAATCCATTAAAGTAAAAGGAAGGCATACCTCATTGAATGCGTACAATATTCTAAACATATGGTCACTTTTTGATAAACAACTACTCCAAAGTTCCAGACTTCCAGCCATTATAATTTGGAAAAACAAGCCTGTTTTAGGTTGTCTGTCCCCCACCCCTTACAATGAGAAGCTGTTCTTGGATGTAACAAGTCTACTTTATTCAGTAATTTCTTATTTAGTGCCAACCAACCAAGCATTTCAGATTTCAGCTAAAAATATATCTTCCTGAAAATGTGAGATTCTTCTCTGATTATGTTTAAATCCAGGATACATTTACTTATTTTAAATACATCATATATCAATACATCTTTTCTAATGTACAGTGATTATTTATGATTTTAATGTCTTGTGTGATTGTGACTATTTTGTTTTGTTTGACACTTTCGCCCTACCATGTCACCTTGAAGATAGCGCTGGGCAATAAATCAAATTTAGGAATCAATCGCCTTTTGAAAAAAACAAATATGAAGGATATTGGGAGAGTTCCAGCAGCAAAGAATTACATTTGAAATATCAGCACAGTCTGTGCAAGACTTTTAGTATAAGTATAAAAAAAATTAAAGATAGTTATGAAACTTAAATATATAGGGGAAAGATCAAAAATATTTCAAGGTCAAAGTCTGTCTTTGGGGACATTAATGGAAATCGTTTTAAAATCAAAATCGTCCAAAGCAGGAAATAAAATCGAGATTTTACTTTTTTGCCATATTGCCCAGCCCAAATTGAAGAATAGAGTGCCACACCCGCATTCGACAATTCAATGAGTATATTTGTGATATGTTTTATGGCACATGAGTTGAGGTTATCTCTCCTTAGACCCTCCTGCATCGTCAAGAACCAATCCAAAAAAAAAATTGAAACTTGGGGAGGCAAAAATTGAGAGAGGGATCCACTTCAGCAGGCAGACAGGTGGTAGATCCCGGACTGAGGCTGTAGATCCAGTAGATCCAGGACTGAGGCTGTGGATCTAGGACTGAGGCTGTAGATCCAGGACTGAGGCTGTGGATCTAGGACTGAGGCTGTGGATCTAGGACTGAGGCTGTGGATCCAGGACTGAGGCTGTGGATCTAGGACTGAGGCTGTGGATCCAGGACTGAGGCTGTGGATCTAGGACTGAGGCTGTGGATCCAGGACTGAGGCTGTGGATCTAGGACTGAGGCTGTGGATCCAGGACTGAGGCTGTAGATCCAGGACTGAGGCTGTAGAGCGAGGACTGAGGCTAGTTGTCCCTGATTGTTCTTTCTCTTGAACAGATCTCGCTGTGATGACGTGCACATGTCAAATTCCTCCCGACGAACGCAAGTGCTGCTCCTGACCACTACCCGCTGTGGCTCCACCTTCATCGGACAACTCCTGAACCAGCATCCAGACGTCTTCTATCTGTTTGAGCCACTTTACCACGTCCAGGCATCCATTATCCCACGCAACCACCTGCCCTCAGACCGACAGGTGAGCAGGACCGACCTACATGTAGATCCAGGACTGAGCCTGCAGATCCACGACTCAGGCTATAGATCCAGACCTCAGGCTGAAGCTCTAAGACCTTTGCTGTAGATCCAGGACTGAGGCTGTAGAACCAGGACACAGGAGTCAGACAGACGTGGTGACGCTCGTATCGAGAGAAGCCAGAGCCAAGAGTCATGTGCCTTCTTTTCTGCACTTATATCCAACTCGCTCAAAACAGTTTTCCTTGTCCTGGCCACTTCATTCAAGAGTGGAGCGAGACATGTATAAGCTATGACCATGTGCATCGGATCTACAGCCTGAGCCTTGGATCCTGCTTGTCTGTGGGAGTGGATACCTCTCTCACTAAGGGCCTCCTCAAAGGTTGCACACTTTTTCCCCTTTGGGTTTTTTTTAATCTTTAGTCTAAGGACAGTGATGAACTTTTTGATTCTCTTATCTCTAAGTTTGTGTAAGCCCTCAGTCGTACAGGGATTAGTCAAAGCAAAGGAAGGTTTCTCACCCATCATCTGTACTTCTTAGCAAGTTTTCCCGACGTTTCGTCCTCAAACTAGCGGACTTCTTCAGGGAATGGAGGGAGGGAAACGTCGGGAAAACTTGCTAAGAAGTACAGATGATGGGTGAGAAACCTTCCTTTGCTTTCTCTTATCTCTAGTTGATCCTGGATCTACAGCCTGAGGTGTGAATTATCTACCTGCTATAACCTCACCACTTACCCGCACGTACATTTGGACATGTACAGCAGCCGAGAACAAACGTAAACAACAATGGCGGGGGATCAACTAATGCACGTACGTTTCGAGCATTACACAGAGGAGTATTCGACTCCTTCGTCCAAACGAAACCATACAAAGCTGTAGTTTCAGTTTCCATGTTTGCTGCTGCTGTTAAATGCAGAATGATGTTGGTGCATTCTTTCAAGTCTTTGTAGTGGACTGAGGAGGAAGTGATTCTACTGCTGGGGGTCGCATGTGTTGTGTTGTCAAGTTCCACTGCCCACTACTGGCATTGTTTTTTTGTCGTCGTGTCTACATCTAATATGGACCCTGTTGGTTATTGCTAATTGCTTTGCAGCGTCTCCGCAGCGTCTTTGTCTAAACAGGGCCTGAGTCCTATCACACTGTGTGAAACCGAAAATACATGGGTTTGTTTTTATTTTAAACTCCACGTTCTAAACCCATTTCTTGAAGCATGCTTGTAATGCAGGTGCTTCTTGAGACTCTGAACGTTTGTAACAGCGCCGCTCCTCGTTCTCTGATTGGAGGAGAGCGAGTGTCACGCCAAGCCTCAGCACTACTCAGCACTTTTTACAGCCTGAATTCATACACAAGCTGAATCAATGAGCTTTTTTAATTAAATTACGGATTATAATACAACTTGTATGTAGTAATAAGCATTTGTATGAACTCATTAAAAAAAAATCGGGTATAGCTTCTTTAAAGTAGAAGTATGTAATATTTGCATGCCAAGTCATCATTAAATGGCCCCAATATTTCAAAAGGCGTTATTAAATCATGCTCTTTTTGAATACATCTTTAACTGATAACAGTAGTTCAGCCGAGATATCTGAATATCAAAATTATTTTTACGACCCGTAAAAGTTGTTATTGTTTCGCCAATCAGGAAGTGAGTGATCCGGGTTGCCAGAACTCCATGCGGCTAATCTCACTGGTTAAATAACATGTGGCCGCAGAACTAAAAAATGTCTTGTTTTGACTCTCAAATAATTAATGACAAAACAAAGACTAAAACGAGGATTTATATCGGGACGCCAATGAAAAATTGACACAGCGGATACAAGTTTTTGTGTGATGCAAAACTTGCTAGATACACTGGTAATGGTGGTCCAGTGGTTAAGCCACAGAGCTTACGTTCCAGCGATTTGGGTTCAAGTCCAGGTATCATCTACTTGTGTTTAATTACATAACATAAACATTTTTTTTACAGATTGCTCAAAATCAGGTAAAAGACAATAATCAAGACGTTTTTGCAGATTATAGCTTATTTCTTAAAAAGAATAATTGAGACCACATGTACCCCAATTAAAATAATGTTAGTCTCTATTTTTCATGTGGGACTTGTACATGTTTGTCTAAATGTTTGTCTCTCCACGCCTCGGTGTCCTGTCAAACGCTGGGACTTCTGGAGTGGACTCCTTATCACACCAGGACAGTCTCTGTGCATGCTTTTTGGCGGATGCTCCCATTAATGCGGCTGTCGGATGGCATCTGGTTCTGTTTGATCGCGGACGTCCGGGGGTTCCCAAGTCCAAGCTACGGGCGGTGGATTAACTCTAGTCATCGTGCGCGTGGATCAGCTGGTCTCCGGGAGAATAGTGTGGATGTGGTCGCCGTGTCGGGGTCCTTGGTCTCGCATGGGGAGGCTTCCGTGACTGACTGCTGCGCTCCTGGCTTACAGTTACAGTGGTAACTGTGTAGTTTCTTCTCAAAGCGTGTTGACTCCAAATCGCCACGATGAAGTTTCTGTTTACATTTTTGCTGGGGACTTGCTTGTTCTGGTCCTCTGTGACTGTGACTGGCTGTGACAATGCTGCTTATCGCCCCCTTCAGGCCCTCTCCAGTGGTACATCTGGCTACAGCGATCTGCCAGTGAAATTGGCGCTGTCTATCTGGGAGACTGTACAAAATCACAGCGATCTGATTCGTCTAAGCTCCCTCTTTGTATTAGACAGATGTTTTGTGTGCAAAGATGTCTCCTGTACTACACATCAGAAACCACAAGCTGAAAGTCCCGTGTCTAGTACCTCTTTTAAAAGAAGAGGTTTTATCCTGCTTCTTCTTTTACTATCCGGCAATGTTGAGCTTAATCCTGGCCCTTTGCCAAATCACATTGAGACCCCTGAGGATTTTCAAAAAAGATCTGGTCTTGGGATTCTGCATATGAATGTCAGAAGCCTGCTACCCAAAATGGACTTGATTAAAATCTGGATTAAATCCACAAACACCGATATTCTTGTCCTATCTGAAACATGGCTGAATAAATCAGTAGCTGAGTCAGATATTTTGTTATCAGGTTATAACTTGTTTCGCTGTGATCGTCCCAAGAAAGGTGGGGGGGTAGCAATCTTTGTGAAAAACAAGTATGCTGTCACCATATTAGCTTCAGTATCAGTGCAAAAGCAATATGAACTACTTGCCTTGAAACTTGAATTTTCGAAAGGGCAGTCATTAACACTTGTTGGTTGTTATAGGCCTCCATCAGCTTGCAGTGATGCCATCACATCACTGTATCAGCAGTTGATTGGTTTAAATGCAAATGAGCTAGTTCTTGTCGGTGATCTGAACCAGGACTGGATGACTACAGTGTCAGACAAATTAAAATCAGTCTGTGATTCATTAAATCTTACACAGATGATTGACAGTCCTACTCGACCAAATATTAAGATTCCATCTAGATCATCTTTGATTGACCTGTTCTTGACAAATGTCCCTCACAAATACAGTCACATTGGAATTTTTGCAAATGATCTTAGTGACCATTGCACTATTGCTATAGTCAGAAATACAAAATTACCAAAGACAAAACCTCATGTTATTGTGAAGCGGGACCTTAAACACTTTAATGACCAAGCCTTTTTGTATGACTTGTCCTTGTTCAACTGGAGTTCTCTAGCATTGTTCGAGGATGTTGATTTGGCCTGGAAATATTTTTATGATGAGTTCCTGAGGCTGGTAGACAAACATGCACCCTTCCGTAAATTTAGGGTGAAAGGAAGGAACAATCCATGGTTCTCCACTGAAATTGATAATCTTCTAAAAGAACGAGATAAGGCGTGGTCTAAAGCAAGGAAAAACAAACTTGATGCGGATTGGCTTTGTTTTCGACAACTTAGAAATAAGTGCACATCTTTGATAAAAAAGTCTAAATCTGAATTCTATCTTACAGAATTGACAAAAAATTTAAATGATCCAAAGAGGTTTTGGAAAACTGTTAAATCTACGTTTGCTTCAACGCAGTCAAGTGCTCTTCCGGCTGTGTTAATCAGAGATGGGTCACATGTGACAGAGAAAGATGAAATGTTGCAACTTTTTAATGAACATTTCATCTCAGCTGGCTCTCTTTTTGATGTTCTTAATCCTGTACAGCAAACTGCAGGCACTTCTACACCAGATGTCCAGAGTAAATGTTTTGGAGCACAAACATTTGCATTTTCCAAGGTGTCTTCTTCTGAGGTGCACAAAGCTTTACTAAACCTTGACACCAGGAAAGCAGCTGGTCCAGATAAGTTGGACGCTTTGTTTTTGAAATTGGCAGCTGACCTCATTGCTGAGCCGCTGTCACAAATTTTTAATCTGAGTCTTACCAGTCACAAGATTCCTAAAGTGTGGAAATCTGCTTTTGTGCTGCCGCTCCTGAAAACAGGTGATCCATCTGACGTAAATAATTACCGTCCTATTTCCAAATTATGTGTTCTGGCTAAGATATTTGAATGTGCTGTTAGCAATCAGTTGCGATCCTTCCTTGAAGACAACAACATTGTTAATGAATTTCAATCGGGATTCAGGAAGAAGCACAGCACTGTTACAGCCACCATGAAAGTTTTAAATGACGTAATAAGTGCCCTTGACTGCAAGAAATACTGTGCTGCCTTGTTTCTTGATCTTTCTAAGGCGTTTGACACTGTGGACCATAGGTCATTGATAAAAACTCTTTCCAAAATTGGCGTCTCCGTCCAAGCAGCCGAGTGGTTCACTGACTACCTGTCAAACAGGTCACAGTGTGTTCAAGTGTCTGGGTCAACTTCCTCCTTTTTAGAAGTGTCTAAGGGAGTACCACAAGGTTCAGTTTTAGGCCCTCTGTTGTTTTCAATTTATGTGAACAATTTGTGTGATGACCTCCAAAATGCTTCTTACCATCTTTATGCAGACGATACTGTTATTTATTGTTGCTCTTCATCTTTAACAGAGGCCTACGAGCAACTACAAAATGCTTTTAACATTGTACAATCTCGTCTGCACTTCTTGAAACTAGTTTTGAATGCTAAAAAAACAAAACTAATGATCTTTTCAAATCAAAAAGAAAGAAAGGGGAGTATTCCTGGAATTTTCACTACTCAGGGTAAAGAGATTGAGTGTGTGGATAGTTCCAAGTATTTGGGATTTGTTATTGACTCTGGACTATCTTTTAAATTACACATTGCAGCTCTGGTCAGAAAATTAAGGGTTAAGATAGGATTTTATTTCAGAAACAAGTCGTGTTTCACCCTTAGAGCCCGAAAACTATTTGTTTCTGCCACTTTTTTACCCTTAATTGATTATGGTGATGTTATTTATATGTCTGCATCAGCTCAGTGTCTGCAGTCGCTAAATTCTGTGTATCACAGTGCTTTGAGGTATGTGACGGGATGTAGTCGCCTCACACATCATTGTGAACTTTATGCTAAAGCCCAGTGGCCCTCACTGGCAGTGAGGAGGTACACACACTGGATGCTGTTGGTGTACAAAGCTCTTCTCGGTTTGGTTCCTGTCTATCTGTGCTCCCTTCTTCAGAGAACCAAGAGCCTGTACAGTTTACGTTCCAATGATTCTTACCTTCTGACTGTTCCACGTGTCCGGACGGAGCTGGGAAAGCAGGCATTTAGGTATTCTGCTCCCGCTGCATGGAACAGTCTGCAGTCAGATCTGAAGTGGTCCAAATTGTTGTCTTTAAACGCATTTCGTTCACTTCTTTTTAAAAAACAGTTCTCAACCATTGCCAAGTGCTCATGCTTTTAAACTTAACGTGTTATATAGTTGCCTTTAGTTTTTTATTTTTGATCATGTACATGTTTTGTAGTTTCACTGTTTGTACTTTGTAGTATTATTGTATTGTATTATTATTGTATTGTTTTACTGTTGCTCTGTAAAATGCCTGTGACGTGTGCTACAGACCTCTTGGCCAGGACTCCCTTGAAAAAGAGATCTCGATCTCAATGGGTATTTTCCTGGTTAAATAAAGGTTAAAAAAAAAAAAAAAAAATAGGGAATAAATAAAATTGAAAGGTGATATCCTCTGGAGCAAACCCTGATGTTGATACGCTGAAGAAATACGTTCCAACATCCATTCTTCCCACTCCTATTATTTATTTTGCATAATCAATGTATAATTAATTTGCTTTTATTTTGTTTTTCTTATCTCAAATAAAAAAAATAAAAAAACATTCATTCAACATTAGCACGGCTCATGGCAATGTGAATGGAGACAGACAAACAACTGATAAAATAATTCCCTGTGTTTGCTGCTGGATTTGGTGTGTATCTGGCAACCTGAGTCAGGGAGAGTGGGAGAGGACTACAAAATATTGACTGTGACTGCAGCACCACTTTTGGCCAGATTTTTACATACTGCTGCTTTAAATTGCAAAATTTTGATTGTGTGTGTGTTTTTTTTTTTTTTATGGGCTTAGCAGAGGCGGAATAATCCACACCAATAGAGTTCTTTCCTTTCTGGTGGAAGAATTGCTTCTGGCTGAAGCTGAAGCAATAATACATTTTACAGATAGACCTACTTCCATTATTTTGAGTTTGTTGGAGACAAAGATTTGCCGAACATAAGACTTTGCATTACTTTGAAATAACAGTAACAAGTGGAACAACACTGGCTCTCCTCCATGTTACGCTCAGCTCAGTACAGCAGGCTCTATGTGCTTCATACTGCAGCTCGAAATCACAGGCATTTATTTTTGTCATATAAAAATAAAAGCCTTTAACCAGGAAAGTCCCATTGAGATTAAGAACCTCTTTTTCAAGAGAGTCCTGGACAAATGTATGAAATTATGATGAGAGATGGACTTTAAGAGATAAGATAAGAAAAGTGTTCCTTTATTCGTCCCACAGTGGGGGAAATGTTGCAGCGCACATACAGGACAGTTGTAAGAGCTCACAGGGAGCACACAAAATATACAAAATAAGTTGTAGCTGTGTTTCTCAACTAGCTTAATTAGCTGTAAATGCTGTAAATGCTTCAATACCAGTCAAAAATTAGTAGTGCGGAGTTATATACTGTACATATAGGTATATATACAGTAAGTGCAGCAATGGTCGATGTTGCTGTCCGTGCACATTGCAGCAGTCATCCCAGAGGATCTCAGATGTGGTGCTTTTGATCTGTTGTTGGCAAATTAGCAACTTTATAGAGATTCAAACAGTTTGAACACTAGAAACGCAATAAAAACAAACACATAGGTCCCATTGGTCCCTGGGGGAGCGGGGTGACCACTGTCCATGAACGAAATGTCCCTATCCGCTCCCACAGACAGAATGTAGACTCGAGCTGTAGAACGAGGACTGAGGCTGTACGGTGCAAGGCTGAAGAGGCTCCCAGTGAGGACGGAGTGTCTTGACCTTTATTTTTTTCTTACTTCCATCTGACAAAACAAAATAAACCGTAAATAGTGTTTCCTTCAATGTTTAAAGCAGTGTAATGTGTCTGTGTTCAGCTGATGTTGGGGGCCGGTCGTGACCTGCTGTGGAGCCTGTTCCAGTGCGACCTCTATGCGCTGGAGAGTTACATCCGCCCCGCCCCCAACAACCACATGGTGGACAACCTGTTCCGGCACAGTGCCAGCCGGAACCTGTGCCAGCAGCCGGTTTGCCAGGCCTTCAAACCCGGTGACACGTGGGAGGAGTGGCAGTGCAAGAAGAAGTGTCACCCCCTCAACCTGACTCTGGCTGCTCAGGCCTGCCGCGCCAACCGCTACATCGCCATGAAGACGGTGAGTTTAGTGCAGCCCTGTCCTCTACATCTGCCCTCTACTGCCCTGTCCTGAACTGTCCTCTACAGCAGTGGTTCCCAAAGTGAGGGTCGCAAGATGACTTCCATAAAAAAGATCAGAAGAAATCGGCTGCTGATGCTTTCTCTGTGTAGTGGAGGAGTGTAGAGTAGAAAGAACAAACACATGCTTTAAATTTCATGCAACGGGAAGGGCTGTTAAAGTGGGGTGGGGGAGATGGGGGGTCGTGGGGCAGCAGTGCATTTGTCATGGGGGTTTCGCTGGCACCTGTGGCGCCACCTGAAGGTGAAAGCCAGATCCAGTAGTAGTAGTAGTAATGTAATAGTCTTTATTTGGAATTGATTGTTCAATACACTGAAAAAGAAGAAACATATAGACATATATATACACAATTCGAAAAGGAGTAGGTAGAAGTGAAACTTATGTTTCCTACCCCTTGTCCAGTCAGATCTTTGAAGCTAGGTTGGGTAGTACTGTAATGGGAGACCCCTGGGAACACCAGGTGCCACAGTGAGGCCACTGCGGCTGTTGAGTGCCAAACTGCTGTTGTGTCCTGAGGCAAGACACTTCACCCACATTAGAATGAGTCTGGTCTGTGTGTTGATGGTGGTGGGAGGGGAATATTTTGTCTTTTTGCTGATACTTTATTATGATGTCGTCGACAGACTGGAAGTAATGTTAAGACAAAAGCTACAGTGAATGCACATTCAATATTCACATTTCTCTGTCACAAAAATGTAATCAATTATAAAGCGTGCAAAGGTTCAACAGTCAATAGTCCTGATGATCTTTACAGAAATTGCCAGTGCTGAAAGAATTTATATTCTTGTTCAGTGTATTTAATATTAATCTTTTAGCACATTTCTAGCCGTCTTAGTGTTGTTAAAGGCTCTGGATGCTGTGAGGCGCTGGTTTAGTTCAATCCTCTGGGACTTCTCATCCACAATCTGTGAGCAGAAATGTCCATTTGCTTCAGCCCAAACGTATGTTACAGGTGCGAGTGCCTGCAGTGGGGGACTTACGGCCCCTTTTGGAAGACCCTCGCCTGAACATTAAGGTGATCCAGCTGGTGCGGGACCCACGGGGGATTCTGAGCTCTCGGATCGAGACCTTTCCAGACTTGTACAGACTATGGGGCATCTGGCAGGCCACCGGAAGAAGGCCACACACCCTGGAGACCAGGCAGTTCACCACCATCTGTGAGGACTTCTACAGCTCTGTCTCCACCGCTCTGAGCCGCCCGGCCTGGCTCAGGGGCAGGTACTGAAACTGGACTGAACTATGGCTACAACAGAGCCACACATGGACTAAAATATCTGACCAGGACGAGTGTGACTGAACCAGCCTGAACCAGGACCAGAGATAACTTAGGTTAGTGTTTGTCCATAGGGGACTACATTGTTTTCGCTTTGACAAAATAGTTGAAATAGAAAAACCTGTTCAAACCAAGTGATGCAAAAAACACATACAGTAAATAATTAGTAAAATCTTTTAGTAAATAATTATACTTTTCTAAATTACATTTGTTTTATTCTGTTCAATTTCTGAACCACTGCTTCACAAGGGGAGCGGGGAGCTAGTCCCTGTGCTCATTAGAGTCCCAGCAGGAAGCTAGTCCTTGTGCTCCTCAGAGTCCGAGTTGGTTCATATGGCACTAACCTGTCACGGATGTACTTTGGTGCGAGGCCATGGAGAGAACTCGTTTGGAGAGCCCAGCGAGCAGGCCGTTACAGTAATATAAACTGCTGGAGACAAAAGCATGGATAAGAATCTCCAAGTCTGCTTTAGACACGATATTTCTGACTATGATTTTCAGATGGTAAAAATCTGCTGATGTTACTGATTTGAAGTGGCTAACTTAAAATATGAGTCTATCCAAATGTATCCAAATGAAAAACTTTAAGTCCCTCCCTCTTGCCTCCAGGTACATGGTGGTGCGTTACGAGGACCTGTCCCGGAGCCCTCTTCAGAAGACAAAAGAGATCTATGACTTTATAGGACTGACCATGACTCCCAGCGTGGAGGAGTGGATTCGTATTAACACCAGAGCCAGCAACAATGCACAGGCCAAGGACAAATACGGCACCATGCGGGACTCTGCGGCGGTGGCCGAGAGCTGGCGTCTGAAGCTGCCCTTCTACATGGTGGAATACAGCCAGAGCGCGTGTCAGAGAGCTCTAAGGCTGCTGGGATACCGCCAGGTCCAATCCGCCCAAGATCTCAGGAACACAAACTTCTCGCTGGTCCAGGACAAAACTTTTGTACCATTTTGGTAGAACACAGAGGATTATTTTTGTATGCATTGTTGCCTTATGTTCCTCTGTGTGTGTTGACTTTTAGGGCCAGATTCACTAAACCAGGTGCCACATCGAAAGTTCTGCTCAGATGTCGTAAATTTTATTTCATTTTTACCATCACTGCTGTCTATCATCAACATTGGGAGTAGTCACAGTAAGAAGGCTCCAGGTATTTGCTATATCCAAATCTCACAGGTACAAAACCATATCAATATTGATCTCACGGTACAATATTTTTAGTGATGTTGTGGATAGGCTCAAAGTATTTTAAATTGGCTCACAAGTTCCTTATTGTTATTATGGTGATAAAAACAGAAATGACTTTAGTTTGATTTTGTCAGACACCAATCCATGTATTGTTATATGGGGACCATCTTTGCGAGAGTCTGTCTCTGAGAGTCTGACCATAGAGACCATGACATATTGAGGTACATTTACTAACACAGTATCGTTGCATCCCAATATTTATGACCCATCCTTCAAAGCCTTTGGAGCCTATGGAGGACCAAAAATGTCAAAATAATAAATAAATGAACTAATAGATAAATGTCACAATCTGCAAATTATGACTACTGTAAAGCTACACATCATGAGATTTAATGAAAATATATTATTATAATCAAATCAAATAATAAAGCTTTATTATTTTCTGTCTGCATTTATTTATTTCCTTGTTCATTCAAAGGTTGCAAATGAAGGAGCGGGCCTCAGACAATGAGATGAAAGCAATCGCCTCGTGAAGCTTTCTCCGAGAGTCTAGACGATCGTCACAGAGCTCACTACACTAAACAAATGACACTGTGTAGATGTAACCACACAAACACACACATGTGTACACACAGACACACACACACACAACAGTATTCTATTGTACCTGATTCACCTCTGCTTTCATGGTCTGGTCAATGGATCTATTGTATCTATTCCATAGACTGTATGTCTATCTGGCTAAGCCTCTGTAGGACCCCAGGAAGGCCCCTGAATGTGGACACACACTGTGGGTCAGGCCTCCTCTCTGTGGGTCAGACCTCCTCTCTGTGGGTCAGGCCTCCTCTTTGTGGGTCAGACCTCCTCTCTGTGGGTCAGGCCTCCTCTTTGTGGGTCAGGCCTCCTCTCTGTGGGTCAGACCTCCTCTCTGTGGGTCAGACCTCCTCTCTGTGGGTCAGGCCTCCTCTCTGTGGGTCAGACCTCCTCTCTGTGGGTCAGGCCTCCTCTCTGTGCTCTCCTAACAGTGGCTCAGTTGGTAGAGCCTTTGGGCCTGATGGTTGTGGGTGACATACTCACCACATGACATACTTCACGACTCCCACTGATGTCTGCTGTCGTTGTGTCCTTGGGCAAGACACTTAACCCCACTTTGCCTGAAGCCCCTGCTGAAAGATCAAGGCTCCTGTGGACTCACCACCTGCAGGAGGATCAGTGAGGGGCTGGTGCTATGGGTGCAGCCATCCCAGAAATGGATTAAGGGGAAGAAAATGGATGGATGAAGAAAATAAATACATGCAGAAAGAAAATAAAGAGGATTTATCATTTCTTTGGGCAAAAAACTGCAGTTAAATAATAATATAAATATCTTTAAATCTTAACCTTTGAAGGTAATAGATAAATGCAAACAGAAAAAATAAAGCTTTATTATTTAGTTTTGAATCAAAACATGTTGTATAATAATAATAATAATAACAATATATATTTAATAAATATCATATTTTGTAGTGTTATCTTATATATAAAATATTTGCAGCTTGTGACGTTTAATTATTTATCAATTTATGTATTATTTTGACAGTTTTGATCATACACAAGAGCAATGGTCGCCGCAGTTTAGCTCCCACGGATCCATCCAGATGTCTATGCTCAGAACCTGGAGCTGGACGATTTGACCTATTGTGCATGTTTTAGTGGTAAAGGAAACCTACACAAATGCAGGGAGAACATGCAAACTGCACTTGTTGGGATCCCACAGGCAAAAGAATAAGAAAATAGTAGAGGTGTTAAAAATATTGTGTGTATAACTCTATGATTCAATTCAAAATTTAGGGAAAAACGTGTCAAAAGTGTCTTACTTATTGTGCACGGTCTCCCTTGCTCAGTGAGACACCAAAAGCTGTAGCAGCTCAGATTTGTTATAGTTTTTCCAAAGTCACAATTATCACCTCATAGTGTATTATTGGGATAAATTATAACGCACAGTCCTAAAGCATAGGCTTACCCCATGGACTCTCTGTGCGGCGTCCACCTCCATGATTGGAGAGTATCCGTGGTGATGTCGCACACAAGGGCAGGCCCAGGTCGAGGAGATACAAGGAGAGAGATGAGACACAGTATTGTCAAAGAAAGAATCCCCAGAAAAAGGAATGCATACGACAGAAGTGGCTCCTGTCATCAGCACAGAGCCAACCTGGGACTTCCCTCTGATCCTCACCTCCTCAGAGGGTGGATGACGTCTCAGTTCGATGGAGAACAGAGGAGAACCGAGGCCACAGTGCAACAGGCGTGTTTTATTACCAGCCAACCAACCATGTTTATTGCACATTGTTTATCACTTTACCACTGGCCTCAGCTGCACAGGTTAAGACCATGTTACATTTTCTTCTGTCTTTAATTCCTTAAAGTCATGACTAATCTAATTATAATGGTTTAATTATGGATAGGACAATATGAGATCATATTTATCACCATTTCCATCTGTTGTTTCTGACAAATAACATACAAACACACAGTAAAATACATTTTCATCTTTAACTCTGGTCAGTGTGGTTCCACGAGCTAAAGTCGTGCTGCGGCCACTGTTCTCATATGAATGTACTTCTCTGTCCACTCTTGAATGCAGTATTTGTTTTTCACATGTGCCAATGCTTAGTTAACCTGGCCCTTACTGTGAAGTGGAGAAAGCACAACTCAGAAATTCACTTTGAACACTTACTGTGCACAGAGGATCACCCCCAATTCACATCTTAGTGTTGCACGTGACGTAACATACACCAACGTTGGCGAAAAGGTAGAAGCACGTGTTTTAAGAGTGTCAGTTTACACCCAACGTTCTCTCAACGTTTGCCTGTGCATCGCTTCCCCATATTATTTCTAATTTTGGACTTTGGATTACTTTTTGACTTAATTGTTGTTCTCAACATGCATAAGTAGCCTTAAAACTCAAACATAGACAAAGTTTGATTGAAATATTTACCTGCTTGAAATGCAGTAGACAAATCGCATCTACACAATGAGCAGCAAAATAAATGTACATCCATCCATTTTCTTCCCCTTAATCCATTTCTGGGTTGAGGGGTGGCAGTCAGAGCTGCATACAGTCCACTTAGCACCAGCCCGTCACTGATCCTCCTGCAGGTGGTGAGTCCACAAATGTTTTTTTTTTTTACAGACAGCACATTGGCCTTTTCATGGTTGAACATGTTTTGCATCAGAGAAAGCAGGTGATCAGGCCCCTTCTGCCCCTTTGTGGCCGAACCGCTGTAGTTTACTTGCGCCAAAGAAAGTTGACCAGGCTCATTAAAAGAGCTATCTTGCTAAACCAGACTAAATACCACAAGAGATACGTAATCTGGGAACCATCCATTCATTTTCCATAAAACAAGTTATTGGATGCTATAAATATCTCATATCTGCACTTATGCGGCCATAATGTCATTCACATTGATGGTGTAAGAGTGCCAGAAATACGAGAAGTAGGGAAAAGGACAATGGATCCACAGTGGAGCCGAGCGATGACTGCAGTTTATAAAATTAAAACATAAGGAAGAGGATCTGCTGCCATCTGCTGGCTCTGTAAACACAAGCTTTTATCTGTCCAATAGTGACTCATCATAGTCTTGTTTTCTCTCTCTCTTCTGTGATTGGTCCCCAAATCCATGTGAACATTTTGCCATGGTTTCCATAATGTTTACCTGTTTTTGAAATAATCTTAGTGCACACAAAGCAGCATGGGGGATTCCCAGGATAATGAAAGAGTATTCTTGGATTTAACTTGTACATGTACGTTTACGTCCTGAAGACGCGCTGAAGACAATAGGTGTAAACTGGGGGTTTGTCTTCTTCTGTGTGTGAGCCCTCTTTTCCATGTTCATGGGTCTGTGGCCTAACCCTTTTTCTGTTCCCATCTATGACACCTGCACAGACGACTGCCAAACTGTCTAGAATGATCTTCATAAACCAAATGTTTCACATTCACTTTTTCCATTTAGTTGTGCCATTTTTTGTCTTCCGCTTTATCCGTTGCCGGGTTGAGGATAGCTAGACTTCCCTCTCCACACACTTCCTCCAGATCATCCGGGGGAATCCCATGGCGTTCCAAGACCAGTCCTTCCAGCATTTGTTGGGGGGAGGGCCGTCTGTCCTGGACATCTGTCTCCACTATCCCAGAGGACGAGATACAGAAGACTTCTCATGAACGTGACTGTACCAGTGACTGTTTAGGCCACACATACTTTCTCTCATCTCAAATGCAGTCTCAAACGTGATCCTGGTTTGGAGTAATTGCCACTCATAAATGTTTCAACAACCAACATCTCCACAAATCTTCCCTGAAAGACCTAACAAACTTCCTGAATCACCAATTTACTAATAGCATTTTTGTAAAAACATGAATGAACATGAAACAAAACTGAAACTTCTATGACTTTCAAAAAGACCTATAAAGCTGAGTAAAAAGGTAAAAATGGAATTTTTGATTATTTGTCTTTGAAATTAACAAGGGCACTTTTTTAAACCGAACCAAAAAAAAACTTGAATTTTTAAAATAACCAGATAAAAACAACCCCTGATCAAATCTGTAAAACTTAACTCTTTTGAGCACTCTTTGTGAAATAGTTTTCACCTAACTTTAATTGTAGGAGGGAACTATAGCCCTGTTTCCACCGGCCCAACTTGTCCCTTCTCTACTCTGGTAACTGGTCCAGTATCTATTGAAAATCCACTTCTTTTTTTTGAGTCGAGGACAATGCAACAAGAGCTCTGGTGTGTAC